TTCAGAGACAAATGTCTATTAATATGAAGCTAGAGCTAATTAAAGATGTGTATTTCAATTCTCTGAAATGTGCAATTTTACTGAGTGCTAATTGAGACGAAAATAGCGTTACACTTTATGAATAGTTCCTTATGTAGTTCCTTATGTAGAAGCTGGAATTGATTTCACAGTTTAACTTAAAAAAAACCCAATATTTTTTTCTCTAGTAAACAATAAAGTTGGATTCTGACATTTTCCACCAAATTCCCTTTTGCTAGTATTGAATATAAGAATGTGAATTTGGAAAAAAGGTATGAAGCCTCTGCAGACAGAAACTGTCAAAAATCACTGAGTAATAATGGGGAAATAAATAAATGGTGGTTGCCCAAATGTCAACTTGTGTGAGCTTCTCAGCTAAAGGTGTAACTGCGCCTCTGTTTTTTTAACTGTATGTATTTCTCCAACTGTCATTGCCTTCAAAAATGTCTTAGAAATAGGGTTTCAAACATTTTCCCAGCATACAGTAGCTTGTGGGCAAAATTGAATGATTTATTACAAGCATTTTCCAGAAAACTCATGCTGAGACACTTCTTCAGCAGTGTCTTATGATTTCCAAGAGTGCTCATTATCAGGTGAAGTCATTAAAAACCTGCCATCGCCTTTGGATAAATCAAGTTATAGAAGCAGTTTTTAAAACCTGATTTTTCAAAGCATAAATCAAATCTGAGTCAAATACTTAAACATCAAGGTTTGAATGGAGTTTTATAAATGTCTGCAAAGCGCTAAGAAAACAAAGTGATCGTGTCAAGCATTCTTGCAGCGGGTAAATGCCCAGCTGTGTTACATAGGGCCCCAGCTCCCCAAAGCCAGGTGGGAGAAGCCAGTGGCACTGCCTGTGTTCTGAAGGAAGGTGGGAGAAGCCAGTGGCACTGCCTGTGGTCTGAAGGAAGGTGGGAGAAGCCAGTGGCACTGCCTGTGGTCTGAAGGAAGAACTACACGTATTTTTAGGACTCAGAGAGATTGGCTCCTGGTCTCATGTTTCAATCCATCTACAAAGAAAATATTTGCTTATTCACTGATGTTCAGTTTAAACGCACACACCAGAGAAGATGCCCTGTTCTTTTTTCAGACCGTTTACCTTCAGTGCCCAGATGGTTCATGTACAGCTTTGAACACTCCTGTAGCTGTGAAAGAGGTGAAAGAAACAGATTCATCTGTTGGTTTAGGAAGGGACACAGGAATGCAGCATATCACAGTCTAGGGCATTGCTCAATCCACTAGCAGAAACTTAGATGCAGTACATTAAATTACAGCCTATTTATGGGTTTGAGGCTGTCCATGTGATTAAAGAGTAACTCCAACACAGAGAACTTTGAGATCTGGTCCCCACAGTGAGGGAAAAACAACACACAGTTCCCACATTGGTTTACCCAACTCCAATGAACTCTGCTTAACCTAGCATTTTCTCAGCAGAAGCTGTGTGTGAGGAGAAAAAACCCACGTTTTCCTAGCACAAGGCAGTTTCTGTGTAAAATCTAGTGGATAGCTATTTTGAATGGAATTAAACAGAGAAAATAAAAGATTGTGCATGACGTAGTTGGCTGTTGTAGGTTGTAAAGCCAGAGGGGAATGACACAAGCTAAGGACCTTCTCCCCATCACACTCTGCCAGCTGCTGAGTCTGTGGGAGACACAGGAGCAGAGAGCAGCAGGAGAGAGAAGAGTTCAGCACACACCTGGGCTGGCACTATAATCTAGGCTTTGATGGCTGGCAGGACAGACTGTAGATGTGAAGTCACTCAGGGCTCGTGCATTCAGCAGGCTCTGTTGATGGCTTCCTTCTCATTCCACCAGTGGTGTTTAGTTGAGCTTTGAATTACTGCTTGCTGGTGGGCTTGATTCTGTGTGCTGTTGTAGCGCTGTTAAACCAGGAACTAGAACCAGTTCCACTACAATAAAGCCAGAGCAGTGACACTGGGGGTTAGGCACTTCCTGTACTGTCTCTGATCACAGCACAGATTTATTGGCTGTTGTTTAAGTCTTACCCATTGGAAAAGCAGAGAGCTGTACCTGTGATTGTTCATTTTTGGGTTCATCTGGCACTGTGTTTTGCTGCTGCAGTTTGCATTCCTCTCCACACTGGCTCAGAGTACCCACTGTCTGACATTCTTACATTCTTATACTCCTAAATTTCCCATACATAAAAGGAGAGAGTAAGAAATGGAAGAAAATGTGCTAAATATCCAGCTTTCATGTAAGCCACTTTAAAATGGCTATTTAGTATTCAGTAACTGCTGTTTCAGCCCCCTCTGAGAAAGTTTTGGGAAGTGAATTGGACAGCAATGCTCTGGCAGCTCTTATGCCACCAACTATTTCAAAATTACATCTTGATGAAACATGTTGGCAACTGCATGCATTTGACCTCTGTTTTTCCTTCAGCCAAAAAAAAAAAAAAAAAGCTGGTGACAGCCTGAACCATTGTTCTTTGTATTTAAAACAAGTCTTTCAACTGGGAGCCAAAAAACTGCTTTTCAGTACAGCTTTGAAAAATCATCAAAGTTCAGCAGCTTACAAAAATTTTCCATTGCCTTGCTATTCACAAAGTAGAATAGACATTTTCAGTATTTTTTGGCAATTTGCAGCTCCTGAAGATTGCACCTTGTCCTGTCAAATGAGCCTAACGATTAATACTTTTTTTAATTTTTATTTTTATTGGTGTTTGGAGGAATTTATAGCCTTGGACCCTTCTGATTATTCCTTCTTTAACAATATACATCCATGTCCAACCCCTGTCCATAAATGAGTAATTTCTCAGTCTTTATTATTTCTGCTGTCCATCATTCTTTAAAAAGACTTTATGGTGTGATAACATCAGGAAGATGTACCTTCCTTCAGAAACCTCTCACCTGCTCAGCTGAGTTTCTGCCTTTTAATGCAACTAAGACATTCAAAGCAGTGGCCTGGCTCCACTACACTATCCACTATACTATGGTAGGATTGGCCTCATTTAAACTGGGGATTGTCAGATGAGCAACTTTTGCTGTTTGGTTGAGAAAGAGAAGGACAACCTTTCTGGTTAGTAGGTGTTTAAAAAATGGCACCTTGATCCATCGTGTCTCAGCACATTTGTGGCACAGTGCTCTCTGAGCAGGCAATACCAGTAACAGGCTGTTCAGATATAGGTACTTCACAGTTTTCAGTGCTTCTCACAAGCAGTTCATTATATGGCATTGCACAAAAGCCAGGCTGAAACTAACTCTGGTGTTTTATTAGCCAAAATTAGTATCCTGCCCTAAACTAAAAGTTCTACTGTATCTAAGTTTCTGCTAGTGGATTGAGCAATGCCCTTTTTAGGTAGATCTTAAAAAGCTTTAGGAAAAAACCCCATTTTATCCATTTTTTGATGATTTCATTCACTCATTCTGCATCATGTCACAGATCTATACCTTGAGTGGTGTCCTCATGCCTGAACTGGAGGCAGACACATACATTTCTTTAAAGATCTGGAGCAGACTGTCATCTTGTATGTTTGAATCTGACAGTGGAAAAAGACTCTGGCTAACTGGCTATTTATTTTGCTCTTCTGAAAGGCAGTATTTTGCTGTCTTTTTGCTTATACAGATCTTCCCAGCTTAAAATTTAGCTTTATTTTCAGAGGTTTCTGAATTTCTTCATTAATTCTTTTAAAACTGCATCTCCCCCTAAGCTGAGGGTATGTATATATTTAGTTTGTTCAGATGTCCTTCCGTCATCTTTTTATTCAGTCCTTGTTCCTCCAGCTGAGTCTAGTAATTTTCCCGAATTTTCCTGTAAAAGGTTCTTTGATGTCCTCATCTTCATTGCTCATTTTACTGCAAGCTGAGCCAAACTGGTATTTAAAATCTTGGTATTTTGTGTAAGTATGATGTAGTGTATTTTGTCTTAGTGGAAATATAGCATCGAAAAACAATTTACATTTTAGCCATGGTCCTGAATATTAATGAGACTTCTTTTACTCACAAACTGGAGCAGTTTGACAGCCTGGTATTATTTTTATCCAGATTTTCCCAGGAAGTTGGCAACAGTATATGGTGGAAAGCAGTTCTTCAGTATCTCATTCACTGAAATTGGTGGTTCATCAACAGTGTCTGTAATTTCTGTTTCGCTTGCACAGCAATAGAATTCAGTGTGAATTGCAAATAAAAGGAATCTCAATATTATGCAGATTTTCGGCACATGTAGTTGAATTAACTCTGCTTGGTTATATAATGTTTTCCTATGATGTAGGAAAATGTAAAGAATTTAGAGCCTTACCTAAGACTGATCACATGTTGTGTGAAGTTAAAGTTTTTCCTCACTGTTCCAATACAGTTAAACAACGAGCCAACGTGGGAACAAAGCTTCAATCCAAAATAGGTGCTTTTAAACACAGGTTTTAAAAATTGTAAAGTCTAAATAGAAAGTGCCTGAGATCAGGTTCTGCTCCAGGTGAAGTCCATAGGTCTGGTAAAAGAGGAAATATGGGTGGCTTCAAAACATGTGCTTGGTGTTTTAATGTTCTTCTCACAAAGCAGCATTTCCAGAGGCCCAGGGCAGCCAAGAACCACCAGAGCATAGATAAGCTTTTCATGCCAGGAACTGAGACATGGTTAAAGGCCTTTATTTTTTTTCTGTACAATCCAGAGAATTTGTCTTAATTGATTCTAATTTCAAGGGAATAATTCCACTTATTAGCCCTCTGTACATTACAGAATTTAAAGTATTTTAATTTACAGTGCTCCAACAGGGTCTCTGCTGCACACAATTTAACTGTGCAAAACGCACCGGTATAATTTAGAATATGTTCAGAGTTTATTTTGTCATATTCTCAAGTTACAATATACTTAAATCTGTAGGAGAATGATGATTTTCTTGAAAACTTGGTGTTACAAATACATGCTATTGGCAATGTGCCTAAATACATTAACCAGCTAGTTGCAGATTTTAGTTCTGAGAAACTCATGAGTGATTACTTGGTTTGTTTTTCTTAATTGTGTGACTGTCTTAAGTATGCCTGCTTTGCTGCATCCTGGCATATTTTTTTAGAGTATTTTCAGAATATCTTTGCAGCTCTTCAAGGTGTGAATTTAAACGTTCTTCAAATTCTCTGGCGTGTTTCTCTTCCTCTTGAAGGAACTTTTCTGCTGTTGCAAGGAAAGACATCTCAGGGGGAGACTGAGCAATGAATAGAAAATCATGGTTAGGAAAAACCAGCAAGTGCTACAAGTGTTTGCCTTATCAAATTCTACATGTGAAAAATACCTTGACCTACAGCAGCTAACAACACTCTAATGCTTTACACCTCTTCAAGAAAGCACCATTTTTAAAGGCATACATTTTTAAAGGCATCCATGTGCCTAAATGACATGGACTGAACGTCGTGTTTGATTATCTCTGATATTCATAACATTACGATATAGCTTGGCCATTAAAAATTTAAATATCCCACTAGACAGAATTAAACTGCTGCAGAACCTCCAAAATCTATCAACTACAGATTATGTTAGTTATTTGTATAATGTAGACCAGGGCAGAGGACAATAATCTTTTTTGGAATGACAGAGTATAATTATCTTGGATACTGCTGATTGTCTCCTGTAATTTTAGCTCTCTGCTTCTGTGGTATGATGCTTTCTGAGGAAAGGAAGAAAACTTGTGCTCATTTCAGTACTATTAACTACAAGCCCTGACATTCTGGAGAATGTACTAAATTTTTGTTCACTGTAAGTAATTCACTGAAAAATCTTCTTTCCATTTAATGAGCATTTAGTAGACTCAGACTGAAACCGTACCAAAAATCAGCCTTTAGATGGTTGTCATGGGATGCAGAGTTCTATAAAGCAAAGGACATGTGTGAATCTTTGCTGGAACAAGTTCTAAATTTTTAAGCACCAATTTCTGTTAATTTTCTTGCTTATACCTAAGATGCATTCATTGGAATATCTTTATCAATAGAAATATGAAATAATTTTTCTTTTATGAATGATACTATGCCTGTTTAAATACATTCAATGTTTTTTTTTAGAGATAAATGCAATTTTATGACATGATTTTTTTAAGATTTGGCTGAGGAAAAAACTTATTATAGGGGCTTTAATATAAAAAGAGAGGTAATCCTCTCTTTTTATATTGTCATAAACTGGGAAAAATTATTGACATATTTAATCTTAGTTAAAAATATCTTAAATAGCTTTTGCTACTGATTAAGTTATTAATCTAGAATTTCAGGGTTTTTTTTCTAGAATTTAAAAATGTTTGAAGTTTATGTGTTAGCTATAACACATAGCTGAGATTCTCACATTCTCACATTAGTTGAGAACATCAAATAGGAATTCAAATATTCAGATGGTCTGTGGAAAAGGCCAATTTTTACTCCAGGCTCCACTGTATCAGAATGGGGTATTCTGTATTTCCACAGAAGCTAGAGACAGATTTGGACTTCAAGTTTGTTGAAAACTGCTCTTTAGCAGCTTTTAAGGCTAAAAGATACTAACTAGAAAAATGCTCTAAAGCACCAATCCATTGAAACCCTTTGCAGCAGACTCTGAGATGAAATGTAGAGATTTCCTATACGAAACCCCTTTTCTTTTCAAAGTACAGACGTGAGTGATAGCTGGAAATAAATTCAGAGTTTAATACCATCCTTCTTGAGTGAGAGAGGCTTCCTGATGTATAGGGCTCCTAAAATGAAATTCACAGAAAAAGCAGAATCTTCCTTTTCTCAATCCCTCCAAATGAATGTTTTAAAATGATGGCAAGATAAAGTGACTTAATTTGACATGTATGAATAAAAAAACCTAAAAGTAATGGATCATTTTTTACCATAACACCTCAATCCTAGTACTAGCAAGAATAAGAAAGAACACCAATCCTCTAAAGTTTAAGAAAATGGAGGGACATCACCTGCCTTTGATTTTCTTCATAAACACATGCATGATTTCCCATTCATAAATTATCACTGCTCCCATATGAAGAGTTTTTCCTGACATGCTGAATGCCATGGCTACATGCCATTTATTCCTTCATGGGCTAGGTCACAAATACATCTCCTCATGATGTCAAGACTCAGTGACAGAATTGTTAGTACTATTTTAAATTATTTGAAGAAGGCTTTTGTATTATGGAGAATACATTGAATTTGGAGGCTTTTCCTGAAGAATCACCATGTGTTCCCCTTACTACATACCAGAAATGAAATTGTTGATTCAATGCTGAGCAAATAAAACACTTTCATTGAGAAGCATGAGAAACTGGGAAAATCTGAATCTGAAATACAAATTTAAGAGTTGTCATCCCCTAGAGAAAAATGTCATGTTAGACTTTTCCTTGTGGACTGCAGATTTACACAGGTGCCAGTCTCAGAAAATTAAAATCTAGTTAGAAAAGATTCTTAGAGATTCAGGATAACGATGCTTAGAATTACTGACTTCTCATTGGAAACAGACTGGCCTCACAATCCAGCTATCTTCCCAAATTGTTAAATGTCCTTTGCTTCAACTGGTACTTTGATGTGTTTCTTCTTGAAATACACTGTAAACTCTGAAAGAGACATTTCTGAATTTCCTCAGAGTTGAGAGAAGAATGTTTATCACTTAGTATAAGCAGGTCATGGCTCCCCACAGCTCCTGACTCGAGGGTCAGACATCACAGGCTATGATTTTAGATAGGTCCCTAATGCATTGTTTTTCATGCACTTTGAGAGATGGTTTTATCTAAGCAAGTCTAAAAGGCAACATTCCTTGTTAGCAGCATTTTGCATTCCAAGCCTTTAGTCTATTCTTTCATTCTGTTCTCTATTGTCTTTACTTTTGGCCTCTGATGAAGAAAAACCACAAAGAAAGGGCTTTAATCCATGTCTCAGATAAGATTCATAGTTCTTGGTTTTGAATTTCTTTTTTCTCAGATATTATTGCTTTTATGTCTTTTGGGTTTCTAACTGAAACTGGATAGGGATGGGTGCATAATAAGCTTTCCATCTAACTTGTCTGGGTAATAAGGCAAGGAAGACTCTATATTTTCATTTCTACAATGCCAGCTGATCTCATATTTCTTTGGTGTATACCAGTAATGAGAAACACCTTTCTGCCTCATCATTTGCTGGAAAGGAAGGAATGCACCTGACAGAGATGCATATTTCTATAGATGAAATATATGCTAAGTATGTCTTCTCCTTAAATAAGAACTAATGGTTAAGAATTCATTCTGGATTGCTGGGGAGGAGCCATTCAGGAAATTAGCTCTCTTAAAGAGAGAGAGACAGAACTGCCTAATTAATTTGCCTAGAGGTAATCTCTCACTTGCCCCATGAGTTGTCCCAGCATTCTTGGATGCACCTTCAGCAAGGCAGCAAGAAAGCTTTAACACGTGGGATATTTTAGCATTTACTGGTCAAATCATGAGCTGTCAAATCCCAGTATTAAGAGTCTTCTCATGTTTAGGTGCTTCTGCTTTCCAGGAAAGATTTTGTAGTACCAAGAGTAGAAATTGGTCTGGCTAATTTTAGTTTCACAATGACTAAATTTGGGATGTTTTGGGAGCAGTTTCCTCTAACCCTACACTGCAATACATGTTAGGCAGCAGGTGCCGTCTTAAACGCGCTTCTGCTCATATATGAAAATTAAATTTGAGATGCCTAGAAAATTGCTGAGTGACACAGGAAGATTTTCAGAGGGCCTGCGTAGCTAGGAAATAGAAATACCTAGGAGTGAGAGACATGGACTATAGCATGCCTCAGGGTAGGATCAAGACTGTCAAAATAATTCCTAATGATGTCCAGGGGTGGAATTGCCACAACTTTTCATTGCAATCTATTTGTTAAGCGAGTTCCCATACTAATGTTAGAAAATTTCCTAATGCCTAATTTAAATTTTAATTACTACAGCTTAAATCTTGTATTTCCAAGCCTTAAAGCCAGAACAAACAATTGTCTATCATCTCAAGAGAAACATGAGAAACTATTTATTGGTTGATCTTTTGACTAAAAGATCAACCAATCATTTTCTGAAGTTGTTCATTTCAGAAAGAGAGCAAACCCTAAAGTAGTGTTTAGAGGAAAAAGTATTTCCCTAGATTTGGAAACCCTTGAAACAAGAACTTTTGGGGTTATGGGAATTTCCAGTGAATCCCAGCTGAGCTTTCTATGACTCTTTCTATACATGTCACCTCTAAGTAAGAATGTGAAAGGGCAGAGGTTGCAGTGGAACATTTACTAATCTCTGTCTGAAGATTCTTTACCGGGAGAGAGACATAAGTCACTGTCTAAAGCCCTACAGACTATTTTCTCTCTTCCCTCGATACCAAGAGTTATTTTGGTAGGTATCAGGACATCACCTGGAAATTGGACGTTTTCACTTTGTGCTACAAATACTCTTCAGAAAACTAGTGCTTGTAAGATTTTCAGAAATTTTGAACATACTGGAGATTTCACATGGGTCCTGTGTTCTATACCCCTGAAGACCTCAGAAGTCAGTCAAAGAACTCTGGTTTAACATATTATGCATTCTCCTCCCTCTTTCTCTTCACTGGAACAGCTTTGCATTTGAACACAGAACTCTGGAGTAACAGACTGTTGAATGATTTCTGCACTAAAGCTGTGGTATCTAATGTCAGCCTGAGTGATCATTTAATTTCAGTGGTCTGAACTTGTACCTGCTTCAATGCCACCGATTTGAACCTAGACTCTGCATGAGAAATATCTCTTGCTTAACAGTTTTGTTATGTGTTTGCCCAGACACCAGCTGGAAAGTCTTGGCATTGACCCTGGCCTGAGTGCCAGCTGGGAAACAGTTTCCCTGCAGCTTACAGAAGTGTCTCAGAAGGTACATTTTTTCCAGGCTGTCTGGAAACAGAAGCTTTGTGATTTGATGTCTTTGTCTGACACTTCTGACAGAAGAGAGAAGAACTGGTGTTTATCAGACTCATCTGGATAAGTCCAAATGACTCTTCATGATTAGCAGTTTAAAGAGGAAAACTCTCAAGCCATAAGAAAACAGAAGCTGTTTACTTCAAGTTCCTGTGAAACATAAGAATATAAAATGGAAGTGAGGTCAAGTACCGGGGACAACATGGCTCTCAGTGTTCTCAGACTACTGGAGAGCTGATGGACCACGGTCAGTGAAGGGCTACCCTGCAATCCCTCTTCACAAGCACACCATCATTACAGTTCCTCCTATCACATTTTTTTCCTGCCAGAACTGCTTCTTTATGTATTTAATAAAAATTATTACTGTTGTGTTATAATTCCTCTAAGAACAGAATTTTCAGACTTGAATGCCTGCTTGACTTGGGTTGTGGTAAGCTTTAGATAATAAAAACAGATACCACACCTCCCCTCCCAAAAACCAGTGATGTTCTGGACTATGGAGATAGTTCTGCAGCAGCCACATCTCTGACAGCAAAGGCTGTGCATTTGTTTCTGAAGCGGACAGCAGAACCGGGGTACAACAACCACAGGTACCACAGCCTGTCAATCCCCCCTAATAAATGCAGAAGTCTTCCCTCTTCTGCCTCTATAGGTTCAGCCAGAGCCCTGCAGCTGAGAATCTCTTGGTTACAAAGATCCATGCATCACAGCTGGACAGAGGGAGGCCTGTAGCTCATTCCTCACTGACATTCCTAGTTTCACTGCTCACTGATAGTATGCTTTTGTGTCTTGAGGTCAGGAAGGTGCTAATTGTCAAGTGCAAAACAATAGTGGCCGGTAGTGGAGGCCTAAGGTAGAAGAGAAAATACTAATGAAGAGGTAAAATCTTAAATTTAAAGGGAGCTCTAAATCCAAATACTTATGGAAAGATTTTCTTAAATTGTCTTAGGCAAAGTGGGATTTGTCTCACTTGTCATGGAGGGTGATAGTCTCCAGACTACGAAGACAAAAAGAAAGAATGCTGTCCTATTACTCTTTCACTTCAAGAAAAATAAGGATCCCAGCACTTATAATTTCTGTTTCTTTTCAAATGCAATAGCTAACATATGGAAAATAGTTGCTATGATTTTTCTGATTTCATCCATCAGTCAAAGAGATGTAGATCAAATAGGAACTTGATTTGTCTAACAGCACTTAAGGCAGTAAGTTTGCAGGTATTATGGAAATACACTTGAAGCAGAGTGCTCTTATATAGGCAATACAAAGCAAAGTGCCCCAATATAGAAGCCAATAAAATGTAGAAATCTTTCTCACAGTCACATAATGGCAGGTAATTATCACCACTGTTATTATAACAGAGATATGGCTCAGTAGGGGATGTTTAATCTCCAGAAAAACAGCATTTCTGTTAGGATAAGGTACTTCTATTTTTGCTGGGCTGGCACTGTATAAATAATAATGACAACAAGAGTGATCTAATTTTTGGCTCCTCCAAGGCTGCATTTGGTCCACAGATGGATTTTTGAGAATATATGTGTTACAGGAAAATAGTTACTTACCGATAATTTGATTTCTTCCGCAGCAGGGCTCTGAAAGCTGCCTGTTCTGGTCACTTCAGGAAATGGCCCAGGAAGGCCCAAAGGATACCCCACTGGTGGTAAGGGAGATTTAGAATCTATTTTCTTTTCATGGCCTCTGTGAAGTGGATGAGAAGATAAAGTGCTATCACTTTTTGAACCAGTGATATTGCAGTGGCCATACAAAGCAGGAGTGCAGTGTCTGTGGTATCCACCAGCAGTGAGCATAGCAGTCTGTTGACATTCCACTTCCCATGAATCTTTCTTTTGGAAGGATCTAAAAGAAAAAAAAATCTACATATGAAACCCAGTTAAAACTCTTAAGCCATCACAGCAAAGCCAAGGAATTTTCATTTTACTTGTTGACACAGTTTTGATTACTTAGCTGTTCAAACTGCTTCATGCATGAAGTTGCATGGGCATAAGATTCAGCATTACCAAATTGCAGCAATTGAGCAATTTCCACCTAGGTTACTGTAAAACTCTCAGTGTGCTTTCTCTGTCTGCTTCAGCTGTGAATTAAACCACCCTAATTTAAACCCTTTCACTGGAGCTTAGGTTGAAGAACCTTGCCTTGGTTGATGTAACTGTGGCAGAATGAGCCTAAACACAAACTCACCTCAGGTATTGAAGATGCCAGTTATCCTTAAGTGTTTGTTACCTATCCTTTGCTAATGGCTACCATTCCTTTTGCCAGTAGAAAAAGCTATGCAAGCACCAGAGTGAATTCAGCCACACAAATAGAGGAATTAAAATGTGAAAGTGCAAGAGGAGAGAAAAAACCTATTATTAGTGATTGGATAATTAGTCAATTTTGATCTAATAGTAACTTCAACAACTATGTTCAAGTGGCTAGAATTTAGAATAAATACTTAAACAAAAATAGTACAAGAATCTTTGATTCTGCATTTTTACTGCAATGATAATTTTGCCACTGATTTAATGGTAACACTTTGGAGATTAATATAAAAATTATTAGATTTTTAAAATGCACTCTCTGAAAAATTGTGCAATAACTTTCTTTTGTAACAATAAATGAAATCTTCAAGCTTAAAAAACTATTTTAAATCCTATATTATTAGGATTTTCAAAAACTCTTGGATCTCAGTGATCAGAATTGGTGTGCAAGTACATATTTCTAATCATTTGTATTTCTGTAAAGCAAAAACTATTAGGGTTAGTAGCAACTTAAAAAAAAAGAAAGCCATTTTCCTCCCATTCCCAAAATAGTTAACTGAACAATTCTGATACTGTATTGATAAAAGCAGACAAATTTGAGACTCACTTGCCCAGATGTCTGCAAAATTACACTAATTTTCAATGGCATCATTTCTTGTATTACATACCAAAACATGCAAAAAAACTTATTTCAGGTTCTATTAATTTTATGTTACAGTATTTCTAGCTGAGATAAAAATTTCTATCGTATTGAGGTCTGTGCTTATGATGAAATTTTAATCTTGGGAGGTAACTATTAAAACATAATAGCAGTTTGAACAGATTCTATCGTTGCAAGTATCCTAAAACACTCTAGTAACTTGAAATGCAGCTATAAAAGCTTTTTAAGAGCATGTTCTCTGCCACTAAAATATAATTTAATAAATATTCAAGAGTATGCAGTGCTAGTCAGTACTTTTTTTTCTTTTTAAATAAAAAGAACTTGCCAAGTGCAGGGAGAAGACAGTGTTTTCTGCAGAAAGATCACACCATCATTTTCTAGCCTTAATTTAAATATTTGGTGTTGGGAGAGAGTGGCTGTGGAGCCTTGATGGACCTGCTTTTACAGAAGCCCTTCTGCTGGTTTTTACAGGGACACAGTTGATTTTCTTCACAGTAGTTTGTACGGGGCTGTGCTTTGGATTTGTGCTGGAAACAGTGCTGGTAACACAGGGATGTTTTAGTCACTGCTGAGCAGAGCTTACATAGAGCCAAATCCTCTTCTGCTCCTCATCCCATCCAACCAGAGGGAAGGCTGGGGGTGCACAAGGAGCTGGGAGGGGACACTGCTGGGACAGCTGATCCCAGCTGACCACAGGGATATTCCAGACCATATGGGAGCAGGATCAGCAATAAAAAGCTGGGGGAAGGTTGCCTGGGCATCATGACAGGTGGTGAGCAACTGCACTGTTATCACTGGGCATCACTTGTTTTATATATTCTAATTATAGCATTATTATTATTTAATTATTGCCGTTTTTATTATTACTACTACCTTATTTTTATGTCCCATTAAACTGTATTTCAACATATGAATATCACTTTTTTAAAATTCCAATTCTTTCCTTGTGAGTGGGGGAATGAGAAAGTGATTGTGTGCTGTTTACCTGCCAGGTTAAACCCCAACAGCCCTAAACCAGGAAACTGAGTATTCTGCACAGGGACTGTGCAGAACAACTCAGAGAACTAATGAAGAAAATATTTTTTTTCTCTGATTATAAAAGGAGCTGCGATTAAGATAACCTGAATGCTATGGCAATGAAAATTATATGCATGACGCTGTATTACTGTTTGTTACTATAATTTTATTTTTACTCTAATAATAATACTATTATTATACATGCTAACATAAAACTCTCTCAGACTATTCACCAAACTTTCCAGATTTCTAAAGCACCTAAAATGTTTACCTTTGTGGATACAGAGTTTTTTCCTTTCTTTCATGCTTTTCTTTACATATATATTCTGCTCTTTGGGCACAGGAGAATACTTTTTTTCTTTATTTTTCTCCCTATTTTAAAGTCAATTCCATCTATAGTGTTGATGAAGGGCACTGTGAAAAAAAGCCTGCCGTAACTGAAGATAGATGGCATGAATAATAAAATCACAGGTTTTTTTAAAAATCTCATGTTCTGACCTTTTTGGAAGTAATTTTCTCTCTAAACCCATAGTAAAGTCTGTGTGATCTGTGGTTTTTTTTTTCCCGCCAGAACTGCTTCTTTATGTATTTAATAAAAATTATTACTGTTATGTTATAATTCCTCTAAGAACAGAATTTTCAGACTTGAGTGCCTGCTTGACTTGGGTTATGGTAACCTTTAGATAATCAAAACAGATACCACACCTCCCCTCCCCCCCAAAAAAGTAAAAAAATAAAAAAAGGACTGATTTTTTAAAAGGAACTCCCATTCTCCCATTCCTAGTGTAATCCATAGGGTTGCTGGGGCTGCTTGGTATTTTGGAAAAACATGACACCTACATTGAGGTAATTTCATAGGGATACTGGGCCTTTACTCTGGATGGTTTCCACAGTTGTGGTTTAAACTTCTACCAGTTCATGTGCAAAATAATATCTAAGAACACAGATCTACTTTAAATACAATCTGCACATTTGTGAAAAGCTGTCTATTTGTTAACTCTACCAATGCAAATACACTATTTCTGCAGCTGAACAACTTATGCTTTTGGTGGGATTAGTCATAGAGTATTTAACATGTACACATGCCACACAAATAATATCACTGTTGACATGGTGCCATAGGGGACAAGCAGTGAAATAAGTGTTCTCACAAAGGAAATTTAAACAGGATCTACTTTTCCTGACTCATACATAAAATCTGCCTGGTCCCTGTGCAGTCAATGACTTCAGTGATGCAAAAACCCCAAATCCCTTACTCAGCTTGGCTGACATGACCAGGGTTGAGAAAGAAAACTACTGATCTTTAATGGCCAGAATGTCTTCAAGAATTTGTGTTATTGCTTTAACCTGGCAAGTATAACAGCTAGCTTGATTTTAAAATGGATAAAAAGCCTTTTGCTGAAGAATTGTGTTCACTGCTTCCACTTTATCTATTGCCGTAACTGATACAGTGGTGTGACTAAGAGTTGTATGATCTCCAAAAACCTCCTGAACACAGATACTCACTGTAAACACACATCCATTAAGTGATCTCCAGCTATCTCAGCAGGCATTAAGCCTTAGAATTTACCCTTCACTTTCTCCACATGATGGAAGTGCACTTTGGCTTGATCAGTTACCTTTTTTGTACATATTTTTGTGCAAAATAAATATCTTTTCATTTCATAACTCACAGGTATGTTTTAATTTTGGAAGAAACAAACTGAACATATCAGCTTCATCAGAGAGTTCTCTTTGACCATGCACAAATTTAAATCAACTGCATATGGTCAAGGGCTAAGTAAAGGATTGAAATCTTGAGAGTGGGGAAAACTTATGTAAATGGCAATTAGAAGTAAGATAATTACATAAGAAAACAGTAATTAAATAAGGTGGTTATAGGCAGAATGTGGGCACAGTCCTTTTTTAGCAAAAAGATGCTATTTCTGCATATCTTACTTTCTAATATTTAGAAATTTACTGTATACTGAAAGAAAGAAGAAATCATTCTGCTTTTTGGATTGCCAGTATAACTTCCTGCAATTTCCTGTGTTTTCTCTAGAGGTCTCCTCCCTAAGACACGATGGTGCCCGTACCCAGGATTCCAGTACTGACTGAGACACAACTGAAAATTATTGTAGAATATACACCTGCCCCTTGCACAAACACCATTTTTTACCATATAAAAAAGTCTTTTGTGCCCTTTCTCCAGTGCCACAATTACCATGGAAACAGAACTGCAAATTAAACCAGAAATAACAGGGTTTATGCTCAGAATAAAATAAACATACCCCAGATTTTAACTTAACCAATATCAACTTCCTAGTTTATCTGCATACATCTGATTGTTGAAAATTTAATTTTAGTTTTCTGGAAAAATTTTAGTTTTCTGAGGTAGTTTCCTGCTTGGGAACCAAGAACTTATAGTACAGAGAGGGCCCAATCATAAAAACACTGGCTGCACAGTACATGTCAAATTTGCACGTTTTAAAATCTGTGTATTTATTTATCTGAATAGCTTTACATTTAGGAATTCTAATGAATGATTTAGATCCTGAAATCTAGGCTCAATATATCTGTTTCATGATATTAGCTACAATAATAATAATAATTTATATTGTGTTCAGTAGTCTGGCTGCGATTTCTGTTGTGAGAAAGGTCAAATCTCACAGGTGTCTCTCTCACAGTTTTGATTGATCTTCCAACAGCTATGAAATCACAGTCCTGCAAATTACATGCATAATTCTATTGTATCAAATATTTATGTTCTCATAAATTAAATTTCACGGTCTCTTATGTACAGCAAGTGTGAATCCTAGAAGATGGGCAGAAAAAAGTCTTATTTTTTTCCTCACTTTAGAGGAGTTGAAGCATGACCAAAAATGGCACTGACCAATTTTGTTAAGTTATGAGACCTACTGGTGCAGAATAATCTGTATCTTGATTTACAAGTATTTGTTTCACCAACATCTTCAACATAATTTCAAACTTCATAGGAAATCAGCCATACCTGCCACTTCCAAAGATGGGTGTATCTGTATGTATATATATTCATGCATTCTGTATATGCATATATATATATATATATATACACATATATCTATTTATTTTTATATACACGTGAATGCTATCTCCAACACAAAGCAACACTCTTTAAAAAGAAATTTTAGGCTATGGAGCTACATTTACTGGGATGCTGCTCTATTTTGCAGAAAGAAAATATTTTTAAATTTTGCCAAAACCTAGATGTATGAGTTTGAAATCTTAACATGTTCAATTTTGGCTCCAACTCTTTCAGCTTTACTTCACAGAACTATTTCATGTTAGTGCTATCATGTCAGTTCTTTATTACAAATAATCAGCATATTTAGCTTCCTATTCATTTTATTTTCCTGTACTGTGAAATATTGTTTAGCAGGGTGTTGTTTTTTGTTTTTTTTTTAATTGCAATGGCATGATTAGAATATGTTTGAAGGTAATTCATTGGCTCACTGAATACAGGGAAATAAGAAGAAAGTCATCACAACAATGCTTTCTATGAGTCTGAATGTTCTCATTATTTTTCCCTAACAAGGAGTTTATTGTAGTAATGACTTACTCAGAGCATCTGAAATTACGTTTCAATTCAAAATCAGGTCACCCAAGAACACTGAAACCAGATAAGGCATTTAAAACATATTTAATGAAACTTCCAACAAATGAAACTGGAGGACACAAAGCTTTTCAGCAGGGCCTATAGTTCAAACTGCTTATTAAGAAAACCTCCTGTCTAGAAGTTTACACTCATGTTGATTTTTCTAGCCTTTCCTTGTCTTGTTTTTATTTGGTAGTAAAAAATACAGTTTTCTCTATCTTGCAAAACCTGGAACTGAGAATAGCTTGAGCAGCACATAAAAAGTTTTAAAGTTTCATGTCATAAATACTAAAACAGATATTAAACATTTCTGGGACTTCATTTACTGCCAATTTCCATTAGCCATGCAGAAAAATGCAGGAAGTCCTTACAAACATACTAACTAGATCTGATAGTTATATTGGTGGGAGTTCTGAATGAACAGAAACAGCAAAAAACTTGACAGTTTGGCCCAGTCAGACCTTCCAAAACACTTACAAGAAGTTTCATAAATGTGTACAATCTAAATATTACCTCTCTTCCTTTTCTTGCATCTTTGAATGGGTTTGGCAGCTGTGCTCTGTTTCTCTGCATGCATCCATGCAACTCAGTATAGATGTTCCTGTGTCATTTTGTGGTTTAACAAGGCTATTTTGTAGTCTTAAATTCTCATGCTTCATTTTGTGAACAGAAGCTGTGAAATTTCCATGTTCTTTGTTACATAAATCTATACACTGTGAAAGGAGATAATACCATCATTAAGTAGTTATTTTTTCCACAGTAAATGGGTATATTTTTAACAAGCAAACACAAAACAATGTTCTATGCTAAAGAAAAGACCTAGCTACCATATATAATCATGCAACATTTAGGGCAAACCAAGAGAATTGCCTCCAGAAAAAAAAAAAAAATCACAGTAGATAAATAGAAAAGAAGGGATAACAGCCTCTATAACACAATAAAACAAATTAAAATTTCTCAGCAAACATGCATTCAAAATATTATTGTTGTAAATTTATCGCTTGCTTTGTAAAACTGATGACATTAACAGCTATAGCTGCAGATTCTACTGCTCCCTCCAGTAACAATTCCTCCAAAAATAACAAGCAAAATTATAGTTCATTACTACACTAGATACAGAGTATGTGTACAGGCACAATTTAATATGTGTGTTGAGACAGTCACCTTCAGTTTCACATTAGCCCAGTGCTCTCTGTCCTTGTCACTAAACCCTGCTGCTCAGCTGGGTTAGCCCACACTGAGTGCAAGGCAAAATACTGAAAGTGCAAGCCACAGGTGCACTGTGATAAGGGGCTAAAGAGCCCCATCCACCAGGATACCAAGAAGGGAAGATGGAGATTAGCTCTGGAAGTTGTCTAGCCAGGATACTCTGTTCCTTTTTTTCTATCACTTAATCCACAAAGCCTGTGCTGCACACCTGAGCCAGCTATTTTGGAACTATCTCTCTGCAGAGTACTGCACTGCATTGTGTAATATATTTGCAATAACAGTATGCTGTCATCACCAGGAAATTTTCAAAAGGTTTATCAGATTACATACAAAAGACTAAAACCCCTCGCATTTCATTAACTTGTGCTTTCATATATTCCTAGATCTACCTTATTCTCTGGGAACTCAGTAACTCTTTACAGATTTGGTTCTTTGTACACTGCTGGCACAACTGTGCTCCTGCATTTGAAAGCTTGTCTATTCCTTGCACTGATTTGATGCCATCTCTTCCTGTGAACCTTGCCTTCCTCAGTTTCAGGGTGAATTTATGAGCCAAGTTGGCATGGAAATGCCAGAAGGTATAATAAAATTTAATATTTTGTGCAACTATGGGGGAGCAGGGGCTCAGCTATGTCTCACAAGTGGGAGAAGTGGCAGAACCGAGGGAGAAGGAGAGCACTAAGTCATCCTACCACTAATAGCTCTAGAATCAGCAGTAAAGTTATAATGGCATGAACCCCAAAACTGAGCTGGCCCAGCTACATTGCTTTTGACATCTCAACCCTGACAGTAACCCTGCCTGATGATGCATTACACCATATTGACTTAGGCTGGCACTGGTCTGAGAGGTCTGTGTAGTGCTGCACTGTACAGCACAAACGTCCATAAAAATCTCTCCAGTCCCTGGAATCTTAATATCAAATACATCACAATCTAATGTTTAGATCCTCACAATGCATTAGTAAAGGAGCAAAGAATTTTTAAGTCCACAAATCTACTGAAACATGTATTGACCTTGGTATGTGTAGTAACTGGATTTTACTGTTAAAATATAACAAACATGTGATGTCTCCAAGGACCCTTGTCAGACAGCTCTTCTCAATCTTCAAGAAAAGTGTCACTGCAGAGAAGAGTTAGACATGCACACACACACATCCATCTGTGCTTCCACAATAATATATCAAATACACACACACAGATATCCATAATAGTGTGTGTGTATGTGTAGGTAAGACATCACTGATGGACATCCATGCTGTTTTAAGGGTGTGGGTAAGTGTAACATTCTTTCATGACAATTCACAGGCTACAAATCCCCCCAAAATGTATTTACATCAGTATTTCCGAACAACATTCCAGTGGGATTTTTTTTAGTGATACAGTAACTGCAGATGTTCTGTAAGAAGGGGATCTTTTGAAGCTTTTTGTGGAAAACTGCCTATATACTATTTATTATACCTTCCCAAACCATAGTTCTAGATAATTTTATGGCACACTTTTTATCAATTAAATTTTAAAGCCCTGCTGTTTGGAGAGATATAAATACTAGACTCTGAAAATAAGCTGGGTGGGAGCAAAATGTGTCAGTTTTTTACACTGCTATTTAAATACCATGTGAACAAAGGGGTAAGATATTAAAAAAGGGGCATATTTTTGTCTGTGAGAATGATGACTGTTTAAACTTAAATAAGTGGTATCACTTACAAAAAAAAGAAGCTCCCAGAAATTGTTTAATGTCTAGACAATTACTGAAAAATTTAACTTACTTGTAGTTTAATACAATTAAGGTAAAAATTACTCCTAGTTATACTCATCTTCAGTCTGTGTGTGAATACCGCTTGGTTTTGATTATGTTGCATACCTGATATTTTTTTTTTTTATTTAATGTATGCAAACCAGAAATCTCTAAATCTGCCATGATCTTAATCTGCATTTACAATAAATATAACTAACTATTCTGCATACTTCATAGATTATAAAAATTTACCATGCAACTTTCACATTCCTGGTTTTCCATCATTTCTTTTAGATGTGTGTTTTCAGATTTGATAACTTGGTAATGGAATTCCAACAACTAGGAAAAGATTAAGATCTTAGTTAAAAACAAGAATATTACTCTAAACTGAAATAACACTGAGTATAGATATATTTAAGCTTAATTTTACAAAATTTGCATTAGTAACTACAAAACTTACTATAATATTTTCAAATCTAACAATATCAAAGTAGGAAGAAGTATTAAACCATCTATAAAAGAATACAATACCTCTGAATTTATTTACCTTTTTGAAAGAAGTAATGACTTACCAAAACAAGTTCACATGCAGTTACTACATAGAAAGAGGACAGATTTTACAGGCCACTGAAACTAGATGAAATCCTATTCATGACATCTAGGAATTATATCTATTCTTTTATTGATACAGAAATACCTGGTAAAGAGTGCCACACAACAGGACATATCTCTCATTTTCCCCAAACACTAACTTTACTCTTGTCAAAAGTAAAGTATTATTTCAATCACAGTTTTCCACATGTAGTGACCCTCTCAGAAAACACAGAGATACCCAGAAACCTCTAATACTGATGATTCTTTTGTTTTATAAACTAAGTAATGAGGCTGACAATTTTTTTTAAAACAAAAATTTTTCACTGAAATCCCCACTAGTATCTTACAGTTTCCAGCTATAAAATTACTAGAATTTTCTATGCAGATTTGTACCATTCTTCAAAAAGCTTTGGAAAACACTGAAAAACTAGAAACTTAAAGCATATATAATAACAACAAACTGGAAGTTTTCAAGATCTTTTGCATGTTAAAATGACAACTAGATGTGATGGTCAGAATGAATTTCTATTTGGAGGTACAGTTGACATTTACTGGTGATTTCTTGTTCCAGCATCAATTTGGCTGCTTTTGTAATATTTCACAGATATTACAGCGCCACTGATAAAAACTATAGCAAGAAATGGGATGTCTTTTTTTCCACAGATAATAAATGTCATTATCAATAGTGGAGTAAAATGATGTGGGCTGCTTTTGCCTACTTGCATACCTGCTGTTTTGTTAACAATTTATGTTTTGTCTCTAATTCCATTTTTAACTGTCTTTCCAGAAGAGTAGCTTTCTCCATGATAGTTGCTATAGTGATCTCCTTCTGATGAAGCTCCTCTGTCAGGTCAGAGATTTCTGTCTTCATTCTTTCCTGCTCAGAGCAATGGGACTGCTCCTCTCGATAAACATGGTTTCTTATCTGTAGAAAATACATTTCAAAAGGAAAAAATGCTGTGCAGTAAATACGATTGCATCACTTGCTACTTATCAGTGACTTTTTCTGCTGTTGCTTCCAAGACACCAACTCTTCTAACTGAACAAGAGATTCTGAAATTGTAAAATAAAATGTCTTTGGAAGTCAGTGCACAGAGCTTTGTTTATTTTTACATATTTTCTCACTTCTCTTTAATTTGCTATTTAATATTAGAAATGAACAAAGCACAATACACTTCAGTTAACCTTTTAAAAGAAAGTAATAAAAATCATGTATAGAATTAGAAGTCATGGTAAAGAATACCCAGGAAAATATCCATTCAATAAATTTAGGTATGATTTAGTTATAATGCACTTAAGTTTTGAAAAAGTTTGATGAAGCTTAAATTAACTTAGGAGCAATATAAATAAATCAATCTAGAGGTTCTTTAATAAGAAACTACATTAGAAATAAAGGGTACATAAGGAAAATAATTTTATGAGAATTTTTCCAGCCATTATATGTAAGAATTTAAGGTCAAACTTTCTTCAATACCTCCTGTGCAGAGTTCTGCAAAGTATCAACACAAAAATTGTTTTCCTAATCTTTCTACTATAGCCAACAATTTAGTACTGACAGATTTTTTTATTGTATAAGAAACAGAACAACAAAACCCAGCACAGCAACTTTTGAAGACATTTTACCAACTTTTTGCAGTACTATACACAATGACTAACAGATTGCATTCCGATTTTATTTATGCAAACAGCACAGAAATATTAGAATTAAAAAAAAATAGATATAGATGCAAAAAACCTAAGAGCAAGATCATGACTGTCATGCCAAAACTGATGAACCCAAGTCAGATGCATCCAAACAGCGACATTCTAAACCCACTTGGTAAGCATTCCTGTAATTTGCCATAGGTGGCAGAGTGATTGGACCCTTCCAATCTAACAATTCTGTGATTTTGCTTACATTGCTACTTGGCAAAACCACAACATGCTTGTAGGATGAGTTCTGAGCATCCTCTACTTCCAAAGTATTTCAGCCTGCCAAGCCATACACTGTTCCACAGTGCCATGCCACTGCTGCTTGCTCAGCCCTTCTGAAATGTGCAATGCAATAAGATGCACAGCTCCAAGGAGAGAGCTCTGCCCTACACAGTGCAGCAGGTACCTGGGTCAGCTCAGCCCTGTGTGAGCACCTGCCACACTGACTTGTATCAGTTGATCTGTTTGCATATCCCACGTCTGAGACCACCTACAAATTACAGCTTAGCTCTACGGGTTACCAATTAATCGGAGCTTTGGAGGCTTTCTTAGTTGCCTGTTATTATCTGAACCACAATAATGTATAGGCATGGTCTCTTCCATTATTTCAATGGAGTAGCTAGGCACAGAATCAAAATGTCAGTTTTACAGCTACACAACTAAATGCAACCATATATGAAATCTTTTTCACATAAAAAACTTCAAGCTCTCCAGTACCAACAATGCATCCTCCTGCTCTGTACAGTACATGCACATACCCTAGCTCAGTACCCTCTCCTAAAAATCCTATACTGCAGCTAAGATCTGGAAATGATATGGAATACCTTGTTCAGCTCTTCTTCTTGGCATTCTTGACTTTCTGCAAATAGCAATAACTCAGGGGTTTTATTTTCTAGTTGCTCAGTAAGCTGAACATGAGATGATTGATGCCTTTAAGTAAGAAATAAACAAAACATGAAACAACCACAACATTCAATACTCTTCACCTTGTAGTATCCTCTCCACAGTGTAAAACTGTAGAACATGTGCTTGCTGATGAAAAAATATCCCCAAGGACAACCAACATTTGGCCTAAATGAGGCTGGATTTTGGGAGATGTCTAGGAATCAAGGACAATACAACTATGTGGAGAAAGACTCCTGAAAGCTCTTATAGACTGGTATTTAATATAATTTGAAATGGCTACAGCAGATTAGACAAGCCATAAAACCATGATGATTTTATTCAAAGGAGATTAGGGAGATCTCAGCTGCATTGTTTCCAAGTGTTTTAATGCTGAGAAAACGAAAGACTGTAAAGATATAGGCAGAAATATCTGAAATGCATTGATTTGTAAAAATCTAGGCATCATTAAATCTTTTTAATAGAGCCTGCATCTGCCTGAAATTGTCTGATATAATTTTCAATGAATTTCTATTGCCTGAAATTGTCGGATATAATTGTCAATGAAAACATCCAGTCTAAAATTCAGAAGCTGACATTTGAATACAGAGTAGCTTATCAAACAGACTTAATTTAAAACAAATGTAAGAAAAAAGTCAATAGCTCAGAAATACTTGTTAATTTAAACAGGTCTTCACCATCCATACTTTATTTGAATTTCCTGTATATCTTTGTACTCCTTGATTTTCAATAATTCTGTATACAACTTTTGACATTCCAGTTGTATCCTTCTCCAGAGACCATCCCTTGATTGAAGCTCATTTCTCATGTCTGAGATATCTGCCTCCATGTTCTAAAGAAACAAGCAAACACAAAAACAGTTAAATAAAATTAGACAGCTTAAAATGCTGTTTTTTTAACACATCATATTCAATACTTGTAAATACATGATCTTAATTTCAGGAAAACATATTGCTTCCACGTCAGTTCCTCTCATCTAAAAATCAGATTCTGAATATTCTTTAGCCCTTGCAATGTTCCAATGAATCTGCTTCTGAAATTATCATAGGAAACATAATTCAGAAGTTCTTTATTGTACTAAATGCATCTAAAATATATAGCTTGGCTGTTTTAGCAGGTTCTGCCATCCTGGAACATGTTTCATATGCCAGAATTGGTGCTATAAGTGGCTTCCATTCTTCATTGCCAAATTTATAAACTTTAGAAACTAAAAGGCTGCACAAATCTTAAAAACTAGCTCCATCTGCATGGAGTTAATTGCTTATTTAAATGAACATCACAAAATTTTCAAACAATCAAAAAAAAGATTTTTCTTAGGGACTTGACAAACCTTATTCTGTTTTATCTTTTATTTCTGATTGATAGTGTGTTAGACAACCTGAAGACACATGCTACATTCGGCATGATAAAATATGAATTCCAAAAAATATCAGAATTTCACAAAAATATACTGAAAACATACTAATTATAAGAAATTGGAAATATAACCCACAAATTACAAAAGTAACAATAACAATCAGGGCTTGCAATAGTAATATTCAGAGAATATGTATTGCTTCTTACCTAAGATCCTAAAGCATGTTTCAGATTAAAAAAAAAATAAATTATTCTAAGGATACTGATCCTTTACCTTTCAAACTATTACACTAAAAACATTCACATTTTTCATAATTTCTGCATTTTATTTCAACATAGCTTCCATCTTTAAGAGCAAAAATAAAGCCTTTAAAATTTCAAAAGAGAAGTGGATTCCAGGAACTGTACTGCAAGGAGGAACTTCAAAGGTTTATTTCCCCTAGAGGCTCCTATGAGAATGACCCTCCTCCCAAGAAGGCAGTGGTCTTCCTCAGGCTGACAGGGTTGCTGAAGACGTATATTGAAGTGCTTTTGCATTTTTTTGAGTTTTTTTTTTTTTGGGAGGGCTGCAAATGTGGACTCATTAATCTTATCCTTTGTTACATTAAGACCGAGAGAGCTTTTTGAAACGCCAAAATGCAATTCTGGGTATATTCAAGTGAAATAAAGCTTAATAAACTGCTAAAGTTGTTGGTAAGACTTGCTTATTCTCTTCATGACTCCAACATTCAAAAAATAGCCACAATTGCTTTATAACACATGAACCTGGGAGATGGTTACCCATCTGACTTCATTCTAGGGTGGATAAGGGAAATGAATTCCACACAATTGTGTGGCAGAAGTCATATTTTCTGTGATAGACTGCAGTCAGCACACATATTTACATAAATTTTATTTTCCTGTGAATTAAAATAGTAGCAGGAACAACAGTAGCCACAGCAGCAGCTGCAATAATAATTGAAACAGAACTTCAGGTCAAGAGTTTCACAGTTTCACATATCAGTTATAAAAAATTAGATATGCATCACTTATTATTACAAAATATCTACTGCATCTGGTTAAAATGAAAATTAATTTTGAAGCAGAAAACTTTAGCATTTGTTTAGAAAATATCTCATGTAAAGAATCTATTTCAAGTTGAAAAAATCATTAAATCTTTTCTTTCCTTCTATGAAAAGTTTTGCTTCTACTAGCTTGCCAATCAAAATAAAGTCCCAAAAATTTCCTGATCAGCTCTTGTTCTGATTCTTCTCAAAGCTGTTTATGGTGGGCTGACCCTGACTGATGCCAGGTACCCACCACAGCCACACTGTCACTGCCTTTTCCAGCTGGACAGGGCAGAGAAGCAAGAGAAATGCTCTTTGTTTATTTCTGGAGAGAATGACAGGGAGAGATCACTCACCAGTCACTGCCAAGGACAGAATAGACTCACCTCAGAGAAATTAATTTATTGCTAATCAAATTAGACCAGGTTAATGAGAAATAAAAACTAAATCTTAGAACACCTTCTCCTCATGCCTCCTTTCTTCCCAGGCTCACCTTCACTCCTCAGTTCTCCACCTCCTCCCCTCCAGTGCTCTGTCAGACATGGGGGAAGCTTCTAGTACCTTCTCACAGAGGCCATCCCTGGAGTGCCCCCCTTACCAAAACCTTCCCAAAACAAACCCAAAACACTATTCAACCTTTGAAATATAATTATATGGTGTATTTTTACACAAATTAGTATACAGCAGCTGACCTAATGCTGACTTTTCAAGAACCAAGACCCTTGTGTGATATTTTCAGGTTACCTCTCATGTTATGCCTACAGATAAGTTTGTCAGATAATTCACAGGGTAGAGAAACAGACTGCAGTCTCCATTTAGATCTTTTAAACTTTGCGTTTTCTGTAAAGTCAACAAACTGTTCTTCCATACATTTCACTTTATTATTTGCTAATTAATAGTATAGGTGAAACAATTAGAAGCACACTGAAATGATCATAGGCATAAAGGAATATATGAGGCTCAATGTTTCTTGCTTTCATTGCCATCAGAGTTCTCCACACCAATATTTCCATCTACTCCTTCCTCTGCTACCCATATCATATCCAACTATTGCCATCCTCCACCTAATTCTCCTTCACATAAACCTGCTTACTTTTTCTGGTTGACAACAGGCCTTGTAATTTCTTCTTTCTCATACAGACATTCCTAAAAAAATATTTTCCCTGAGCTATTCCTTTTCATCAAGCTTTGATATCAGTGTTTCCCTTATGCAGCTATTTCCAAATGCATTTTTTCTAACTAACATAACAGCATTCCACACCACCAACACAGTTATTCTGCAACTTTCTGCCCTTCAGATGACACTGTTATGTACATCCAGCTCCACTTCTACTTAAAGTGTCTTCAAGCTTCCTACAGCTCCTGAACTCTCTTGAATACATGATTCCAAAATTCTTCCTGCTTGAAGCTTTTCTCCAAGGTGACAGCACAATCTCTCCACCATACAGCTTGTATCCACTTGCTCCAACAGCCATGATTTGTTCCACTGCATATTCTAGTCCCACTGCTTTGATTGCAGCCTTTTTTACAGGCCCCAAAACAGAAGTTTTGCTTGCACACTGATAAGTTGTGCACAGGCAAAAGACTCAATGAACTAATGTGCAAATGGCATGTATAAACTTGGCTCTTCTGACAACACAATCTGAAATTAACCTCTGCCACATATATGCTAATTCCTATAAAGTACATTACACATGCTGTTAGCACTCTGTGAGACTATCTGTAAACGGAAACAAATCTTTCTCCAAAAAGACTTGAAGTTACTATATAGCGTTCGGTATATTACTAAACCTAGTAGTGCTTAAATAAATAAGCAAAAGCATAACTGATATATGTCACCAGAAAAAAAATCAACAGGAATCTCATTCCTGATGTGTTTCAGAGATAATAAAAAGGTTGTAAAGATCTTGTATTATCTCAATCTTGTCAAAATTCATATACCATGACCAAAAGAAGAGGAGCAAATGGCTGCCTTCATAGATCTGTGCTATGCTGAAAAACAGTGAACTAGTTATCTGATGGTTATTTACAATAGCCAGAAATGGAATTTTTTTTTTAATTGACTGCATAATCTCATTTCAAAACAAACAAAATATACCATACATGTTTGTATATACTTATTTACTAGTTATATGGCACAATGAACAACAAAGTGTAAATCAGATAAAGAGATTTTACAGAAGTCATTTATATTCAAGGAACCAAACCAGGGGAAGTTCTAGTAGATGCCATGGATATAGGAGAGTTATAAAGCCCTAGATACATAGACAAGAGAAAAAATATACTGCTACAATTCAAACTTATTTCTGTTTTACTAAAATACTCCACCCATACTGCTCCCAGATTATTCTTTGCTCAAGCACAGAATACACCTAATGTATATTTATGCAGGCATCTCATCTTGATTTTCCAATATTAATTCCACAGTCATCGTAAAAAAACATTACTACCTGGCATTGATTTTGGTAAATTTTTAGATCCTCGCGGAGTTTCACATTTTCCTCTACCAGTTTATTCTTGTTTCTTGCTATTTCATTCACAATTGCCTTTAGCTTTTCAATAATCAAATCATCATTTTCACTTTTGGGCTGGGTATAGGTAATTAGCTCTTCCTGGTCTTGTTTCTTATTGCATATTTGGAGTTGATAATTCTGGCTCTGCCTCTATAAAACAAGAAAATATTTTAAATTAAACTCAATAATTGTATGCAAATTGCTCGGACCAAATCGTTACTACTAAAATCGTAAGGCTATTCCTGTCTTCACCTGGATTTGCTTATAAAAGATGATACAATTCAAACAGTTTGAATTACTTGCCCTCAGTTAAAAAATAAGAAAAGTTTCAAAAACCTTCAAGGGCACGGGAGTTTTTCAAGGATTTTTTCCTCCTGTGCTGTGTATTTTCCTAATACTTAATGTTAATGAGCCTCAAATGTGAAAAAGGTGATTATGATGACCTACTCAAAGCAGTTACCTGTGAGAAATAATTTGAGAGAAATGTTCCTCTTTGATTCATTGAACTCAGTAGGAGCTGTGTGTGTGTGTGCCTCAGGATAGATATTAACCTTTGACTAGAGGGCTACCATTACATAGGTCATGTACAAACAGCTCAGTTACTACAGGAACTGCACTTCTTTGAGATCATTATCCTTAAACTTGGGAAAGAATCATTTGTACATTTGGCAGAGTCCTACACCCCATGCAGCTTCTTGTACCAATTAAAATCCTAAACACAAAACTTCAGAAAATTGGTATTGCCAGTATTTCTGAATCCACAGGCATTGTGAAGAAGCATAATTACTATGGCAACTGTTTTTGCTGTTTAGAAAATTATCCACATGAATCCCACTACTGGGAGATTAAAAAGCAGCACTAATCTTTCAGAAGACTGAGAATTACTTGAAAAATGACAACAAAATATGACCTGGAAATCATACATCATGTGCAGAGAACAAGTTGGGCAAGAAAATATAAAGTGAAAATAAATAGGGTTAAAAATACCATATTTCACTGACAAGGATTGCAAAAAGTCATACTTTAGACAGTTTTTGATGTTATTGACTATGTCCCCATAATTTGTGTTGGCTGAGAACCTAAGCAGAATGGACCACTGGCTGCATATCAAATAAAAAGCCAAAAAATATTTGCAGGTTAAGTTTCATTTCTATAGATAAAAAAATTAAGGTCCCTTTGACATCCAAGTTATGAATTCTGATATATCCAAGTGTCAATATATCCTGTGAAAACCACACTGCAAGTCTGCAACTGAAAATCAAAGGTCTCATGAAAGACGAATTTCAGGCAAAGATGCAGGAACAATTAACACTTTTGAAACAGCTAAGGGTCCATCAGACTTGGATGTTAAGAAATAGTTGGTGTTATGTTACAGTTGTGAAGGAAATTGTCTTCAAAGAAAGTTCACTGATGGAATTGAAAGCTTCAACAGAAAAATGTGAATCATCACCCTCACTACTCTATTATGACTTGTCTAAGTGTACAATCAACATGTCATCAGTCAATAGTTTTGTCTAGTCAAAGACTTGCTTTTTTAACACATTTGCATGAAAGCTCAATTGCTGGAATATAATGCTTACAGCACCTAAACCCAAAACATAACTGTCATCCTTGGAAACTCTGGATATGTGTAAAGAGTCTCACAGGAATTGTTAAGAAAGTGTTTCACTAGATTAAGATCCAATGAGCTTAGTAACAGTGGAAAAGGGAGTTACCAGTGAGCAACATAATTGGCTTCCCCTTACTTAATCTTCAAGCTGTCTTGTGGTGCAGTAAATTTGTAAGTTATTTTCTGGTTTTTTTTAAGAGAAGGATAGGTCACCATGATAGAATTAAATAGCATTTTTTTTCTGGAGTAGAAGGAATTAAAAAAATTTAAATATACAGTATCAATAGTCTATCTATAAAAAAAGCAATAAGCAAATTGGCAAGTAAAAAATAGTCATAAAGTCAAGCAAGGAACTGCATAGTAACCAGAAGGCTGAAAACTATGAAAAAAGGGGGCTAAGCAATCCAACAAACAACTCCAAGAGTGATTCTGGAGAGGCATATGAAAATTCATTTTCCTGCATAACTGATGCTACTGTATAATTATGATCTTCAAAAAAAAGAAGGCTATCAGATTTGAAGGAACTTTATACTTGCATCGATACCTCAATGGCATGCACTATTTACTTGGTAAGATACTTTTTAATAACTTGTCAAATTAATTGCATATTAGCAAATAACATGGAAAAGTGTATCTATAATATGCTTAAAAAGCAAAAAGGAACAGTCAGTGTTTTTTGTCATTGTGGTTTTTTTTTTAGAAATATTAACATTTTCATCATGATCTTTATTTGTTTTCTCACTTTCATGAGAAAAACTAAATTAAAATAAGTCCATGTATCATTAGATGTTCCAGTATGGTTCTGCCTTACCATATATTCACTACCAATACACACATGCATTGTAAGATTCACTGTAATCTTAGTTTTTAAAAATTAAGTTAAAGTAAGCTCTAGCTGAGCAAAGAGTTAATTTTCTTCCTCAAGCAGGAAGGTAGGAATTTTACCTGAAATAAATTACATTTCTCAGGCAATAATTTTTGTTGCATATCTCCATAAACAGGGTTATTTACACAGGTTGTCCTGTTCTTCTCCCATTCTTGTGATTTTGCCTTAAATCCCTGAAAGACAGCAAAACAAGCCTAGGAAACATGGAGGAAATATCTATTTTCCTCAATATAAAGAATTTTGCAAATTGTATTGTTCTAAGAAATACCTAGTTTTTAAATTAATCTTTCCACAATTTTGGAAATAAGTTAAAAAAAGAACAATTCTATAAACCAGCCATCCAGTCACCCCCACCAGAGAAAGACCAGTCTTAAGGGCTACTGATCTGAGAACAATGAGTGTAAACATAATAATTGAATGAAACCAATAAAATAGAGTTATTACTATGATACACAAATTGTATTGGATGGTAGTTCCTGTGAGTTTAAAGCTGTATCAGTGTTGAGCAGGGTAATCAGCAGGGAATCAAACCCTTAATATTCAGACACAAAGTGATCACTTTTCACCTTGGTTTTTAATGGGACAGCAGCTACATTGAATAAATTTTACTTCCTGCTCTCTTTAAAATTGCTGCTTCAGGTTCTGAGTTCATCTGGTTTAAACAAAAAGCTTTTTAAGAAATTGTATTATATTAGATATATCTAATACTGGTTTTGTATTTTCACTTACATTTATATTTATAGTGTATCTGAATATGCTTTAAACTCATGCCAAACCTTGTATGTTCATAAATATATTTTAAAGGCAGTACCCAAAAATAAGCAAAATTTCAGTTACTAGAACCATTGCTCTTTTAGTTTGAAAATTCAGCAAAATAACAGTACACGGATTTATATATTGAAAACTAATGGAAATGTTGTTTCAAAAAGACAGATGATATTTTCTAATTAAGCTAAACTGGCATATTCCCCAAATTTAAAACAATAAGGAATTTTTTTGCTACTGAAGAAAACCTGACTATTTTTCAACACATATTAATACAAATCTTCTTTCACAGCTTTCCTGATATCTGCTTTGGCATTTATAACAATAAACATCTCCCTATTTTATAAAACATGATTCAAATGGAGTTTCAGACTACTTAATAAGGACTGTAGGTTCAAGGCCTTACTAAAGTACTGCTGAGCTTAGTAGATTTTCACCACAGTAATTATTTCCTGAATACTCGAATTTGCTGAATATATTCCAAGCACCCATTTTTCATACTGCATAATTAATCAAATTATAGCATTGTCTTATATTATTTTCACATTTTAATCTTGAGTAAGGTTATTCTCAAATTAGCTGACAGCAGTGATATATCAATGATAGATGCACAACCCATTTATTATTCTTGTAGTAGCTAATGTTGGCAGCTATGCTGCAGTCCAAAGCATCGTAGCTTTTCTGATGGTGAGAACTTCCATGTGGAGGAGACAGCCAACATCAGACAGTCAACATCAGACAGACACATCTCAACACAGATAGAGTTGGGATGTGTCTATGTGGATACAGGAACCTGGAGGTCACAGAAGTTAGTCCTATATCTTACAGAATAACGTAAAAGGCAAGTCCAAAATACAGATCCTAAGACCCTGCTTAATTTGGGTTAAAAGTAGGAGACTACTTAAAATCTACTAGTGCTGAATTTCTTGATTGCGAAGTCCTCAAAGTGTCCAAATCACCTACATCATAAATCTACATCATAAACATGTAAGTCCTCCCCATGCTTAGATTTGGGCAAGCAGCTCCCAAATCAACTTGTTCCACTCTCCTTGCTTTGCCTACAGCACCCAGCCCAGTAAGCACGTGGAGCACACACTACTTTATTATGCTCTTCACAAAGGATGGACAGAGAAAACATGGACTTTGTGATCATCCTATGCTTCATCAGATTATTGCTTAGACTGTTCTTCCCATTAGTGGAAGGCTCAGTGTAAAAATCTTTCAAGACAGAACCTGAAGTGTAATCTTCCCATGTTAGTTTCCTACCTAACACACAAATGTTATTTCTCAACAGGCTCCAAAATTCTTCCTTTTGAAGTTGTTTCATTTAGCTCAGGATATCAGGAAATTTATCAGATAAAAAAGAAGTAGCAAAAATTAGCATACCTAGAGATGATATTGCTCAGTTGGAGAAAATAATACTGGATATCAGTTTCTGCCCCAGTGAATGTAGCCAGAGCCATTTGGAGAGAAGACACCACTTGTGGGCACACTCTCTACAAGCTCTCTATCTTGCCTGACTTTCCTGCTGGTCCAATAAATACCACAGATCATATTATTCCACATATTATTATCATATTATTCCGCAGATCATAAAGTAACCTCTGAGAAGTCAAGATTGGGAATTATGAAAAAAAATCTGTGTCTTCCTGTATTCAAGAATAAGTCCACTAAAATCCAGACTGTGTCCAAAGGGATAGGGAGTATGACTGAATCCTATCCTCAGCATCTATTATGTAGTCCCCCAGCCAGTATGCTGGATTCTGCAGAATGTTTTTTTAAGTGCCTCATCCTTCCTCATACATTGCCTAGGGAAATTAGGCACTGAGGTCAAGCTCATGGATTGCTACAGGCATATGGGTACTGACAGGATAGAGGTTTAACAAGCACTTTTCCAATCCAAAAAACTTTTTTCTATGTAGCCCAATGTGCTCAAGGTTGTCCTGAGGTCTATAAAACTTGAATTAATGATAGGTATTATGTGACAGTATCCTGTACATGTACAACCTCTCATGCCTCAAAAGAGACTGTGTTACCCAGTACACATCTATTCATCAGGAAAAAAGTAAAATTTATTTATAGTTACATTTACAAAAATTTTGCTATTAAATAATATTAAAACTAAGAACCATTCTCACCAAAGCAAGACAATGATATAATTTTCATAGAACTATGAGCAAAATAAAGCTTACAATTTTAAATCAAAGATTAGTTCTAGAAGCCGATTAAAATTAAAATATAATGACAACTATTCTTACCTCCAGTTTCACATATAAATTCCTTGGGTTAGATGATGCCTCCAGATTTTCCTCACATTTTTCTCTACTTTCGAGCTTTTTTTGTTTGAGCTGGTATGACTGTAGCTTTTCATAGCTATGTATCAACTTTGAAAACTAAAAACAAAAGAAGAGTTGAACATGCAGAATCTATCAAGGAGGATCACATGGCCAAAGTTTTCTTTAAACTAGAATCACCAACTGCATCTTTAGCATTCTAAATGTTTAATCAATGTAACAAAAAAAATCTATTAATGACGTTAAAATCAATTAATAAAGTTATCACAGATGAACAAGACTATGCTCTCATATAAATGTTAACTAACTGTTCGAATGGGTTCATTTAACAGCTACTTAATTCTGCTGCAGCTCTCCATGGCATTGCTACCCTCAGAGTCATTTCCTCTACGGTGTTCAAATGGATTGTTCTATACTTGTTTACTGCCATCTTGTGTTGGCAATTTAAAGGGTGCTTCACTAGTCAGAATGAAAGATTATCATTAATGTACGCTAAACTTGCGTGTTCTTTCTTATGATGAAAATTGTTGAAATGTTATGTGTGTGATGATGGCACTCTTCTGGTACTACTGTGTGGGTCTCAGAATTAGATAGTAAATACACAACAGACACTGCCTACATGTCACCATGAAAGCCTGGTTTAGGAGTCAGAGGCACAGCAGAAAAGGTGCCAGGAGAAGGACCAGCCTCTCCAGAAAAACAGCCAGTTTTCACATCAGTTTTTTCACATCACACTGCACAAAACAAAGGGTCTGTCTAGTGCCTGTTTACAGATTTGATACAGAAAAGTGATACTGTTTGCTAGGAATATGTACATTTGGTTTTGAAAAAACAATGCAGACCCAAGGATATTGATAAAGGAAACACTAAAAATACCGTTGTGTGGAAAGCTGAGTGAAAGGACTTTGGGAATAATATTATGCAGAAAAGAAGCTTTCAATAAATAGTGATCATGTCTCTTGTTGTTTAGTTCCTTTACATTAAAATATATATGACTTTATAAAAACCTAACTCTCACGTAAAGTTCTTTGTATACCCGAACAAAATCCATAAAATCTCATATATTTGTTAACAGCTCAAAGTGAACTACTGTTTGGAAATGGAATGGAATCCTGTTGAGTCAACACTGAATGAGCAATTGAGGTCTCTTCAGATAACAAACATGGCAAAAAGAAGTCTAGAAAAGATACAGAACAGAAACAAATTAAAAAATAATCTGGAAACTTCCTAGACACATTTGAGATGAACTTGAGAATCATAATATGGGACAGCAAAAACTAATTGAAAAGATGACAAGAAGACAGATTGTCCTGGACTAGGAAGTTTCATGATATGAAGAGGCCCAGGCACAGATTTCACCAACTCAGAATGTCTGAATAGCAGTTCTGTAACATGGGCATAACAGAGCTGAGTTATCACCTTTAAACCCAAATCAAAAGTCTTGCAGTGAAGCTGCCTATATTTGAAATTGACTTTGTCAGAGAACAGAGTTAAGATAAAATATTTAAAATGAGTCAGAGTATCCAGGCTCAAACAACATGGAACTCATTGACCTTGGAAGAAAGATATCCTTTTTCAAATAAGAGATTTGCTCTTGAATATGTTATGGCATATGTGAACTGCCTGGGAAGATTCAATTCAGATAAGACAGGTATTGGAATGCTTATGCTAAAAAGGCTAGGAAATATAGTATCCAAACAATTTAGTAAATCAGGCCAAAATGGAACAGAGTGGCCAAAATGAGAACATTTAGTTTGAATCTTAGATATTTAATGACAGCAGGATATTAAAGGCAAATTGTTGTCTGGATGTTACAATCACTGGAAACCAGACTGAAAGACAAAATCCTTTCATTTAAGGCCAGATATTTGCTTTAAAAGATCCAAGTTGTTCTGTTTGAATGTTGTGCACGTTAAAAAAAAAAGGCATTTTAGTGAGTTCTGGGGTAGATTCCATCTTAGTTTAGATTTCTGAAAGTTACACATACAAGCCTGAGATACACTGCATCAGAAAAATCTGCCTGTAAATGCTTAGTCATTTCAGCTATCTTAAATTCTTGTCATACCCTGACACAAATTGTATTCTGAGGGTGTCCATTTCTTTCTGGTGATTCTAAGGGGAGCCTGGGATAGCTCAGATGTAGGTTTTACACGTCTAAGTGAGGAAATTAGTTGCAAAGTTCTTAGAGCAAGAAAGGTTCCTTGTTCTTTTGCTGAGAGATTTCCATCACTTTCAAAGTCAGAATATTTACTAGGCATTAATATAAAAAAATAAAAAAGAAAAAGAAGGATCAAAGTAATGCAGATGAACCTCAGAAATTTTTGCTATTTAGTTATGACAAAAATGCTGAACGAATGTTTGAACGAATACAACAGTGTAGTCTAGGAGTTTCAGGTTACATACTAGGAATTATTTCCCTAATACAAGAAAAATATAGGTTTTACTGCATTCAACAGGCACACAATCAATTCAGAGGGAATACTGCTCATTAAACAGAAAATAAATTCATTCTGAATAGCTTAGCATTCTGACAGCTAGAAAAAGTCATCCTTACTATTTTTATCACGATTAGGAAGGAAGAAATCTTGGGTGAGATTTTAAGAATACTTCTGTAGAGAAGATACAATGCTACTGGTAAATAGTAACACACAATTTGTGCAAAACTAAATTGCAGCTCATAAGATTGTACCGTTTAGAAGGTGGGATACCTTCCAAGTGAGAATAAGAACTGAAAGAAGGGAATCAAAGGAGATAAGGCAAAAATTAATATTGCCACAGAAAGTCTGTATTTTAGATAAGAGCTTGTGCAGCTCAGAATTTGGGACATTAAAGTCATTCCATTGCAGCAAATGCAGCACTGTAATCCAGGAAAGAAACTCAGTAAGGAGATGTGGCAAAAGCTAGAGGAGCAGAGTGGGACAGTCCTATTGTCTAGCATAGGTGCTAGGAATTGTTCTGACAGGCAGACTTCTGTTTATCACATGGAGAATCAAGGCAGGCCCCTTAACAGAGGCATTTAACAACTTTCTTTTTCAGTCAAGGTGAATGAGGTGGATATATCATCAAGAAATATGGTTTGGTCAAAGGAGAGGAATGGGCTCTGGAAAATAAAATGCAAACAGCATCAGTGCGGGAACCTTTAGAAAAAGGAATAGGATGACTGAGAGAATGTACTGTTTGGAGACATGGATTGGGAAAGTGACCTATATTCTTAAGAGCTAGAAATCCAAAATTCTATCAAGTCTATCTTGCATAAAGATAGAAGAAGAAGCAATCAAGAAACCCAAAGAAAGGTTAAATGGTCTGAGTGGTAACTAAAAAGGATAGTTTGGGGAAGAAATATAACCAGATTTAAAGAGAAAAGCTTGTAGGTTAGAAAATGTCAGGTTCTTTAAAAAAATAAAAGAGAAAACACGTTGTATTTGCCCGTGGTAAGGACTTGTAGGATAATTAAACACTCCAAAATAAAAATCTTTATGAAAAATTGCCTGGACTTTCAATTTCAGAAGGTTCAATTTCAGTGAAGATATTAGCAACAACATGTAACATAAACCCAAGCATTTTTAGCACAGGATAAAAAAAATAATTAAGAAGTGAAAAATATAGCAGCAAATGTTATAAAGAAAAAAGAGCTTTACTATATTTCTGAGAATAGTTCTGCACTGCTAAAAGATACCCCACTACTTATGCATAAAATGTCACACTCCTTTTCATTATGTGATGTTTATCTTCTCAACAATCATGCTAAGATGATGCTTTTCTGCGATTTGTGTAAATTATAAACCAGCTTTTATTTCTAGCTACTTTCCCAAATGATTAGAAGTGTTAATTACAAAACAGCCAAAGCATTCACTGCCTATTTAAAGAATTGTTTTCCAAATCCATTTTCAATTGTAAAAGAAAATATAAATTAAATACAACATAACATTAAAAATAAGTAATAGATTTATTCATTTGATGGACTCAGGTGTACTATCACTTCTAAATGAAAATAATGACACTCAATTTATGCAATCTGACATCATTATGTACTAAGTGTGGTGACTGGAAATTCTGAATTATAACACTACATCTCTGGTAGAAGAATCCAGTGAAGGGAACAGAAAAGTAGCAGGAAAAACAATGCAGAGTTGTGTAGCTTAGTTGTTAAAATCTGAGAAACAGAATCAACTCAAGTTTGTTTTGAATTTATATTCATGATTGAAGTAGAAAATACTGAAGAAACAAACAGACAGGTGCAGAGCAAACACAGCCAAACTGCATCATAAAACCTCAGAATGGTTTGGGTTGAAATGAACCTTTCAAAGACCATCTAGTCCAACTCCCCTGCCATAAACAGGGACACCTTGCATTAGACCAGCTTGCTATAAGCCCCATGTAGTCTGGCCTTGAACACTTCCAGGAATGGGGCATCCACAACTTCTCTGGGCAACCTTTTCCAACATCCCATCACCCCCACTGAAAAAAATAATAAATTGTTCCTCAGGTACAGTCTAAATCTGCACTCATTCAGTTTAAAACCCTTGTCCTTTCACTCAGCCTGTCTTCACTGGAGAGCTGGTCCAGACCCCTCTGATCTTTTTCATGGCCTCCTCTTGGCTTGCTCCAACAGGTCCAAATCTTTCTCCTACTGGGCACCCCAGAGCTGGACACAGCACTGCAGGTGGGGCCTGACCAGAGCAGAAAAGAGAGAGATTGTGGCCTCAATCTGTTGGCCACATTTTTTTTATGCAGCCCAGGATGCAACTGGCTTTCTAGGCTGCACGAACACTCTGAAATAAATAAAGTCAGAACAAATTTCCAACATCATTAATGTGGGTTACTCCAGTTTTGATACAAGGGAAATCTATACTTTATGGAAAGCTATCAGGCTACTTTAACAGTTGTGTAAATCAATGAAACTAAAACCAGAAAAAGATATAGCAAAGACATGATAAACACAGTATAACTCTTAAAATCCCTAGCATGCATCAGACTCATATTGACATGAATCCAATTACCTGTTTTATTCATTCACCAAGACTTTAGTTTATTAGTCTGAAGTTAGGAAATCAAGTATTTGTCTTCATAACAGATGTCACATTCACATCAAAATCCATCCAAAGAGTTTTGACATGACAGTACATAAATTACAATGGAGCCTGGTAGGAAGCTGTAGCCATCATCATTTGTATGACACGATTCATCTTTCCCAAATCCATGATGGCACATCTATACAATTTGGCATGTGTAAGCTTTTTATACTGCAATCACAAAATAATGAAACTGACATTTTTCTTACTTGAGATTTCAGTGCTTGAAGCTGAGTTTCATAACTCTGAGCCATTTCATTTTTAGTTTTCTGTAAGTTTTCCAATTCTTGTTGAAGTAGTCCCACCTAAAGTTAAAATAAGCATTCAAATGTACCTTTTATGACATTTTTCAAAATATGTAATTTTTGGGAAAGTAATTTGAAACTTTAAAAGAAGATCACTGCTTTAAGAAGAGATATTAAAAATAAGTATTAAATCAGTAGCTTGATAATAGAACTGCATACCACAGACCTAGATTGTCAACATCAAACTAGGAATTTTGTGGTAAAAAATCTCATTACACGCTGATGTTATGATTTAGTCATAATATTGTACAAGTCTGTCATGAAAGACCATTCCTGAAAGCTTTTTCAATGCAACTACAGTGTTCCCCATTGTGAAAATTTTCCTTGCTTGGCTTATAAAATGATACAAATTACCTTCCGGTATTTATGTACAAATTACCAGAAGACACTGTGAACTCATTTCAGCTCCCTAAGTGCAGTGCCATTTGTGATATCATAAATTATTACTGAGTTTAACATAGACCTGAGAAACACAACAGAGAGCATACACAGCACCTGTGCTTTTCTGGAGGGGCACTTGGAAGCTTGGTAGAATATGCTGAAGTATTTCAGATAATGTCTCTATACAGCAAATAAATTGATGCTTCCAGGATGGGCTACTTGAATTCTTGTCTTGGTTCCTCTGACTGCAGGGACTAAGGGGAAGTTCCTAATTGCTCATTAGGGAAAGTCACTCCATTTTCAAAACTCCCACAGGCAATTTATCCACATAGCTCACACAAGGATTCCCTCATGCAAAATTCAGCTGGCTTGAACTAGAACTGAATGCTATGCAAGGATTTCTTGATGCTTCTGAATAATTATTCAGAAGAAAAGACTGTGAAATACAGACAACTCCAGGGCTACACTGGGGCTTTAAGTTTCATATGAAAGTTGAAGTAGTAATACATTTCAACTCTTCACAATGAGTAAAATTATCATACAAAGACAGTATATTATGTAAAATGTTAAAAACCACGAATAAACAGGAGTAACAAAGACATGATTTTGGGAACCTTTTTGAACTGCGTTCTTCCATTTAAAGTTTCTGATGAAATGAGAAATGCTGGCATTTAGAAAAAACACCAAACTATCTTTTTACAGCTAACCCGAGAATATTTGATGTAGACTTTAGGGAAATAGAAGAAATATGAGATTTTCAATGACATTTTTACAATCACTTTTCAGAACAGAAGCACACTTTAAAACAAAACACTAAGGATAATTAGTGACCTTTAAGGGGTGTTTGGTATTTTTACATGATAGAACAAATGGTCTTATGGAGAATTTAAAGCATGCTAATAAGAAACTACAAGAATAAATACTTTCTTTATAGAATGTGATATTCTTAAATACCTCTTGACCTTTTTGATCCAGTTTGCTTTGGGCACTTGCTAATTCTTGATCCTGGATATCCATCTTTGCTTCCAAAGCTCTCATCTTTCCTTCCCATTCTACTTGCTTTCTATTTACCATGATGTCAATTTGATGCACTAATTCCTGAAGTTCAGCTTCACATAGAGAAGCTCTAAAAACATGAAGAAATTTATTTTTTCAAATAAAGAATAAGGGAGAAAACAATTTTTTATGTACATTTATTTATAATTCTGTTTTAATTGTGACCAAACTAACTCCTTTTCAAAAACAGAAAGAAATGGGAAAGTTTAATGATGCCTTCAACTGTAGGTGGAACCTCACTCATCAATCTTGAGTTAGCCTGCATACTCAACTTTTGACTGCACTAAACTGAAAAAACAGCTCCTTAATGTGGATATCACAAATCTTTTATTTGATGCTTAAATTGTGTACATCCCTTGTTTTGATAATTATTACAGGAAATCTGAGTGAATTTGTTAGATTTATAACATCATAATTAAAACTTAGCATAATTTTTTGAATTTAATTCTTTAGAGGTTCTTTTATATCCACAAATCCTTGAAACTGTGATGGTATCAATGTTAAGTTTGGAAGGGCTTTTTAAATGCACACATAAATCTTAATGACTTTTTAATGTTAAAACTGTTGGTAATGCTGTTTTGAAATTTAATGTGAATCACAGGATGACAATAGCCGAAATACAAGCAAGTGATGTATATTGCTCAAAACAAAAACACCCCTCTCCTAAGTGCCTGGAACCCAGCTCAAAAGTAGCATTAATGATGGGTAAACTTTGCTGCCTCTGGGTAGAATATAAAATGGGATTTTGAAAACAGAAGATGAAGTGATACTGCTTTATCAGGTCTATCTGTTACATCAGGAATACCTTTTCCTTGATACTGCTGTAAAGACCTGTGCACTTCAGCCTCCTCTGATGGCAACGCTTTGCTGAACCACCAGCAATGACTCAGCTGTACTATTTTAGCCTTCAGAAACAGGTGCTTGCTTTATCGTGTGTCATATGGATAATCTAAATATTGTTATGCAAGTAAGAACTCAACTTCTAGCCTAGATCATCACATTACCCTTTCAGATCCATCATGGCTGACACCTTTCACTCTTAAATTTCACCTGCCTCTTTCAGATCTTCCTGCACATGGCAAATTCCACATTTGCTGCTAATAAAAAATTTCTCTTAACAATTCTTCTATGCTCCTTGAATCAAGAGTCATGATTATATAAAAGGGAACTGTTAAAAGAAAAACCCCTTCTGAAACAGCTTCTCTGTCTTCACTTTCTTTAATTTCTTACCTGGATGCTCTAATCACATTTGCAGCTGCAAAAGGAAATCCATATGTGAAGTTGTAGATTACTGCTGCTGTTCTACTACCAAAACTACTCTGTACCAAGGCTCTGGTATTGAAGACAGACCTGCAGTTATCCCCACTCACTAGCAGAGAGGTGCTACTTGGTGCAGTAACTATTGCTTTAGTCCACTACTGTTTTGGAAAGAGTGCTCGTTAGCTCCCTCAGAATATGGCCAAATTTTTGGCACCACAGTCATGAGAATTTATTTTGATCATTAGATATATAATGCAATGGTTTCTTTAGTAAGACATGTGTAAGCAAACACACAAAGAACACATTTTCTCATAAGCAAAGAAGTATGCATAGGTTTTTTTCCCCATGTGGATTCAGCATTACCAGTTTGCTGAATGCATACCTCAAATGGATTTGCCACACAGGGAAGTAATGACCTGTACTTCAGCAAGTGGCAGCTACTTTTTTTTTTTTTTGTTCATTTACTTTGAAACAGCTCAAAACACTTAAAGTTATCTCATTTTAAAGTGATGCAGGCAAGCTCTTAGTCTTCTTTTACTCTGTCTCCATATAAGTGAAAATAGAGATGAGTCATATTCTACTGTCATTAATAACTATTTATCTTCATGTAAAACAAAATGTTTCCAAATTAAGGCAAAAATCCAGATAAAAAGTTTCACCACCTTCAGGCCTTTGTCGTTACCACAAAGGATTTTTGCACTGGTTAGACCTTTCTAGCTCTATTCATCCATCTTTTGCTTTGGAGTTCTGCATAGATCTGCATTTTTGTGATTGTTTCCTAACAGACAGAAAAATGAATGATAGAAAGAATGGTATTGTCCATACACTCTAGAATAAAGTTGTTACTTAAAAACAGATGATTTAAGAAATGTTTGGTTCATACTCTCTGTCTTGAATTTATACCTTCTTCCCATATTATTTACATTTGCTCACAAATAGGCAAGTAAGTATGGCCATATTTATGCAAACAAAAGTAAAACATTCAATCTTACATAGTATATTCATTAGATTTGTATATTTACCACAGCTTCTACAGTCAATACTAATGAATTTAATTATTGCAAACTGTGCTCTAAAAATAGGAAATATACAAACCAGTTGTGGTAGAATCTTCTACCCCAAAGTTCCATTATAAGAACTACAACCAACTCACTTAATAACTTTCAGCCATACAGCCACACACATCTATGCATAGACAATTTGTGATTTATGAGTCCTTGCAGCTGGAATGTAATTGTCATGATTTTCACCACCATTACTCAGCCATTATCCCAAGTTTTAAAGGCACTGTATTATCCCTGGAATACTGTCAGCATGGACTGAAATTGTTTCCTTTCAGTGAAGATGTATCCTAAGCTACTCTTCCAGCATCTTTGTATAGTTAATGGAACTAACTAGCTAGCAAGAATTGTGGTTTATGATGGGACAAATTCTTCTAGATGCATCTGCCAATAGCCTGAAATTCCATATATTGATTAAAATAAAGGAAAGGCAGAATTCTGAATTTCTGAAATAGGCTTCTGACTTGTAGTCAAAGAATAGCAATACTTTTGGGTTTTTCTAATTCAAGTTTTTATATGGCTACTTTTACAAATAATGTAACCATGATGTGAAAAAAGAATTCCCTCAAAGAACACTTTTAAATCCCATTGAAAACTTTGTTGGGCCAGAATAAGGTATGGCAGATCATGTCTCTTTTATTTTAAGAAATACTTTTACACTTAATATGTGTCATATCACGTTGTGTTGTTTCTTGGTAATGATGGCAGAATAACCTGGTTTATTTGAAAAGTAGTTAGTAAGTTTACTTACAAAATTATGATGGATAAGTATTCTGTTTTAAGTAATTAAGTGGGGAAGTACTTCTTATATTTGTCTGTTCCTTAAAATTGTTGAATGGGATGAGTTCCTACATCAAATCTTACTCATGTTCTCATTTCTTTAGAAAGACTATGCTAGCATATTTTTTAGATTAACTAAATACTAACATATTTTTCAGATTAACATTAAAAGAACTAAACTTGGATTATATAAAAATAAAAAATGATTATGTGCTCTTATGAAAAGTGCGCTTAATACTTTGGGGGAACAGTTGTAGTTATTATCTGTGCAAAAAAGGCTAGGGCTTTAGCAATGAATCTTGTTTTCAGGATTCTTAATGTTTTAAGAGCTGTGATATGTAAGTTTATATTGCTGTAGCCTAGCAACTCCAAGTACTTAAAAAAAAAAAAAGTTTGAAATAATGTTTCTTAACATCTTAATAAAACCCTACATAGCTTTCATCCTCCCCCCTCCACCTCTGGTTCAGGTATGAATATTTAAAACATTAAAATAACGAACAGAAACAGTGAGTAGACTACTAGCCAAAGCAATAAGATGTCTTGTCTTAATTATCAGCACCTTCTCCAGTTTGCATGGAAAGCAGAAGAAATACAGAATCAAGTTTGCTTCCAAAATCATTAATATTTTGCGTTTCCCATGTTTAATAAACATACATAGTTCAATTCCATCATATATTCAACTCCCAAGAGAGTAAGTCATTACGTACTTAGTCACAGCTTGTTCCTGGAACACTTCTAAGTCCTCCTCCATACCACTGATGGTCGTTTTAGTCTGTTAAAACACCAAAAATCAAATAATTCGGATTCTTAAATGCATTCCTTTACATAGCCAAGTAGGGCAAACTGGATAGTTCTGTGCTTTCCTTTCATATTATGCTATTTTCTCATTAAAAACAAGGACAGCAGAGTGCAGCTCTAATAACAGGCTGGAATGGGCAAGACAAAAACTTTGGGAGTAAGTTCAGCTCTGACAGCAATTCTTGCACTTGCTGCAACACTGAGACACCAGAGGTGGTGCTGAATTTGAACCTTGCCCTGGGTCTCCATATGGAAATTTGTTTTGGACCATTCCCTGTTGTGTGATGTCAACGATCTGCAAAGACTCTGAAGCACATGAATCTTAATTTGCCATAGATCCATGGCTGCGCTCATCAAACATTTGTACCTTTGTACATCGTGATTAACCTGCACGCCGGCTGTAGCTACTCTCAAACACAAATTCCTGTTGTCCGGTCGCTGCCTTTCCTGGCAGGTGCAGTCTGAGACACGCAGCCCTCAAATACCTCGGCAGGACCGTCAGAACAAATCTATTGCTGAGACCAGCCCAGTTCTGCGGGTCCAGCAGGACACAGGGGTGTGTGGGGGCATGCCAGCCTGCATGCAAGAACAGTATGGGTGACGGGAGAGCATGAAACAGCCCTAATTCCTAATTCCTGGTGGGGACAGCAGTGGGGCTCTCAAGGGCACGGTCCCAGCACCCACAGACATGTGGGCAATGACAGACGGCACTGCAGCCTTGGCTCCACAGGGAGCAGGCACCTGAGGTGACACGGCCAAAGGGGCGCTGCATCCACAGGGGACCCGCACCGGAGGCGACACTGCCAGAGGGGCACTGGCTGAAAAAGGACCAGGCACCGGAGATGATGCTGCCACAGGACCAGCCGTAGAAGACCGCCACCTGAGGTGAGGTGACACCGGCACACGGTGTGCCGGGCACCTGAGGAGGAGATCGGGGCACGGACAACACTCCCCGGGCTTCCCCGCGCCCCCCTCCCCTCCCGTTACCTGCCGTGCTCCCCCCTCCGCTCCTGCCGCCCTCGCTGTGGCCGCGGTACGAGCCCCGCAGCCCGGCCAGCCCCGAGCCCGTCCCGCCGCAGCGCCCGCCCGTCGCCGCGGTAACCGGGAGGGCGGCAGGCGAGGCGGGAAGGCGGGCGGGACTGGGCCGGGACTGGGCCGGGGCAGGGCCGGGACAGGGGTAGGGCCGGGGCAGGGTCGGTGCAGGGCCAGGGCTGGGCACAGGCCCCGACGGGCGCAGGGGAGGGGCGCGGGCGTCCCGGGGTCACTGCCCCCATCCCTCCTTCGAGCCGAAGGTAGCTGAAGTGAATTTCACCACGGGAAAATTTACCCGGGGTGAAGAACATGTACTTCTCCTTTAAGATAATTTCAGAAATCAGTAGGCAAGGTGGTTTTTTTTTTTTCTTCTTTTTTTTTTTCCTCCTTCATCTTAAAACTCTGTTATTACTAGATAATGAAAACGCTGAACATTACCCTTTCCTCCCTCAATGACTAGCTATGCTTTTGTCAAAGGGCATCAAACGATTTTCAGATTATTTTGCAAACGACCTTGGCCTGATGCCTTTCCATTCTTGTGGCCTTCAGTCTGTCTTACTGAACAACAAATTGCTTTTAGGAATCACAGCTATTTCAGCTCTTCACAGTAATAATTTGAAGGACTTTAAATTTCTTCAAACACCAGTGAGGTTTTCTACCAGGATGGTACCGTTCACTTTGCGTGTATTGTCTTGAAATTTCACAGAGCAGTTTCAGGACCTGCTAGTCTATTTCTGTGCACTACATGTCCATCTTTTGCTTTGTTCTTCTTAATATGTTTACTGAAATTAACCAAGTGAATGGAAGCTTTAGTACCATTTCTAAGGAATAATCTATTTCATTGGGTTTCTACATACTGTGCTGTGTCAGATGGTTTTCGTGTCAGCAGAAATGCTGTTTCAAGCTGTGAAAAATGATTTTTAATTTTTTTTAAAATAAGAGACTAAAGTAAAATTAAATGTGGAGCTTCAGGAAAGTTACAGAATGACAGAATTATTAGGATGGGAATGGACCTCTGGAGATCATCTCTCTGGAGATCATTTTGTCCAACTCCCTGGCCAAGGCAGGGTCACCTAGCATAGGTGACAGGAACTCCCTGATGAGGTTTGTCTGTTCATTCTAGAAAATAAGAGTTTTCCCTTGTAGCCAAGCCAGTCAGGATGACAGGAGAAAGCCGTAGAACCAGTTGCTGCACTCTGAGCCCTGAAAACATTTTCTTCATTACACTTTTAATACTTCATTACACTTTTCTTCATTATTTACATACTGTAATTGAGTTAATGTTTCAAATATAATTTCTTATAATTGAAATAGTTCTGAGATTTTTTTAAATAGTGAAATTTGGGTTTATTTATTTTAAATACAGAGCTTTGAGATGATCTGAAGTATTATGTACTAGAAGTAATTTCTAATGCAACTGCCAGCAAATTTCTATTTTTTCATCTGCTCAATGGAAATGAACTTTTCAGCCATATTCCCAGTGTATATATTTTAATTTCTTCCATGTCTTACCCTCTCTCAGTGGTAATCAGTTATTCAGAAATTTAACTTCCATCTGTCATGCCTAAATGGAATTGGGGGGGAGCAACTTAAAAAAATACAGAAGAAGAATTTTTAAATTACTTTTCTATATTTTCAAAGCTTTTTAGAAGGACAATTCCACTGCCACTAGCTGGAGTTGTATTTCTAACTCTCTTAGGTATATCCAAATACCTCCCCCACTATATTAAAAAACTCCCATGTCAAATTTCTGACCTTTTTTATTTGCTTTTGCTCATCCACATCATCTCTTGACTAGTGCTTGTCTTGTGAGACTCATAACTGTTATTTGTTGACTTTAAAGAACATGCTTTACAAATTGTGACAGCCAGTCAGCCAAAAAAAAAAAAAAAAGCTAATTTCAAATCAGCTTTTAGATTAAAATTCATGGAAAGCTATAAGTGCATTTCTGCAGGAAAAAAAGAAAGTAGATCAGGGCAGGTGCACAGCAGAGTGTGAACAAATGTCAAGCAAGACAAGGTGCAACACTGATCTGTTTACAAAAATGCGGGGAACTAAGCATTACCTAGGAAGCTGCCTTGCAGAGGGATCTCAGATTGGGCAATGATTAATGGGATGGAATTTAACAAGTCAAAATGTTGGATTCTGTACCTAGCAGGTGAGAGTTTCTAATAATAAAGCAATAATACACAATTCAATAGAGAATATTTTCAGAGCAGGATAAAAGTGGTGGTGTTAAAGGAGTAGCATAATTTAGATATAATTTCAGTGATAAATTATTATATGCCTACTAGTTCTCCTTCCTAGGTATTTGTCACTTGAATTCTTCAATATTTGTTGGGTCTGTAGTGCAATATGTAATAACAGGTAAAACCTAAGTGCATTTGTGTATTTAACTTTAAATACAGATTGTATTTACAGGATATATTCACAACTTACTTTGCAATCTCAGATGACAGATTTGATTGAACATTTTGTTCCAGTAAGCTCAGTATAATTCTCATAAGAAACAGACTCATTTCTTTAGCATAGAAACCACACGATTTTAGTGATATTTATGTGATGGATTCATAGCAGCTCCATAAAAGTTTATTAATTGCATTCTGCATGTTAGTTTGAATGCATATGGACACCCCAACTTAATTTACAGAAAAGAAAAGGAATAGCCATCCATCAACAACTATGCAGGAGTCACTGAGAGACAATAAAATCTATGAAAAAGATCCTTAAGACGTAAGTAATAACAGAAGAATGACATTAAAAAAACCCAAACCTTTGCAAGAGGGATTTCTGCTTGTGAAAATGAGACAGGCATAGAATGTGCCTGAAGATTTTGAAAGTGCCTAACTAATTTACTGGCAGGAGCTGCTAAATCCTGACATAATACAGACATAGATGAAAAGTACTGTTTCTAAATATTTTGTTTCTAGTTTAAACTGAAAACTGCTCTTTTCTTAAGCTGCTTATGAAATCACTGAAGGAAAGAACAGAAAGAGTTTGGATTTAGTAGGATTTGCCAGGTAAACCAATTGATATGTCACACTGTAGGCTGAAACCTTGGAGTGGAGAATTTTGAGAATTTATCCTGTAAGAGGAAACCTGAAAATTAAGGGTAGTGCTGTAGGAGGATGTAGACAGGAGAGAAAGGTGCCATTAGGCCTGTTTTTGTGACACAAATTAGTCTTTCTGTGTCCCTGAGGATGACAAAAAATAATGGTAGAATTGTGTAGGCTGTAAAAGACCCTTTAAGATCATGGAGTCCAATCTCTACCCCAGCACTGCCGAGTCCATCACTAAACCATGACCCCAAGCACCACATCTACACATCTCATACATACCTTCAGGGATGGTGACCCCACCATTTCTCTGGGCATCCTGTTCCAGTGCTTGACAAGCCTTTCAGAGAGGAAATTTTCCCTAATGTAGGATGTAAACCTCACCTGATGCTACTTTGAGGCCATTTCCTCCCGTCCTATTCTTTGTTATTTGGGTGAAGAGACTGTACCCTACCTGGCTACAGCCTGCTTTCAGATGGTTGTAGACAGCAATAAAGTACACCCTGAGCCTCCTTTTCTCCAGGCTAAACACCCCCAGCTCCCTCAGCCACTCCTCACCAGACTTGTGCTCCAGACCCTTCCCCAGCTCCATTGCCCTTCTCTGGACACACTCCCCTCCCTGTCCTTCTTGCACTGAGGGGCCCAGAACTGAGCGCAGGATTGGAGCTGTGGCCTCACCAATCTGAGTACAGGGGGACAATCCCTGCCCTGCTCCTGCTGGCCACACCAGTGCTGATCCAGGCCAGGATGCCATCGGCCTTCTTGGCCACCTGGGCACTGCTGGCTCATGTTCAGCCACTCATTGACCAGCACCCCCAGGTCCTTTTCCACTGGACAGCTTCCCAGCCGTTCTGACCCTAGCCTG